TATCGGATCCGTGTGAAAAATTTGTTACTTGTAATTAGCGAATTAGTACGTAGACAGCTCTTAAGTCAATGGCATTTTACGTTTTACCGTTTCCTATTTACATTTTTGCCACCTGCTTCGAAAATTTCACAGGAAATTTGATATTTGTTATACCCGATTATGCTAATACTGGTGAAAAATAAAGGTATTTATTCTGGACCGACAACTCATTGTAATTTGAATAATATTACCTACATAGTGTCTACTCTAAAAAATGAACCGGTTTTCTTGCAAAATGTATGCTTTAATACATTTAAGTATCCGGAGTGTAGCTATAAACGCAAAAACTCGATCTCACGCTCTTTATAATTTTTTACTTTTTCCATTTTTTTTTTCTACCTCGCCAAAATATCGCCTAACATGCGAGATTGCACTGAACAGTTTCCAGAATCACCGATAATATAAGTTGGCAACCATAATCAAATTAATTTTATAAGAAATATCAGGCGAAATTAAATATCCTTACCGAATTATGGAAATTTAAATATACGAGGGAAACTGAAAAAGATTTCTGCCCAACAATGAAAAACAATGTTCTTTAATTTTAACGCACTTGCACCACCAAAGATTATTCCAACAAAAAAATGCTCCCTGAATTTAAAAAAATTGGCCCTCTACGCAGCTTTTGTTAATTTTTTTTTTTGTAATTATTAAAATCAAATTTGACACACAAGCAGATTTATTTCCATAGACCCTCGTATCTGCTTAAATAATTAGCCAACAGTAACAGAAGAAAAATGGTGGGAGTAGGTAGAAAAAAATGTAAAATTTAAAAACCTGTGATACCGACCACCCTATATATGGTATGCGGGATTAGTCCGTCGTGAATAATATTCAAAATATTCTTAAACGTTTTATAGCATTTCAACGCTTACTTATAGACTTGTTGGTATTTCACCTTTATAATGAGCTTAATTTTTTAAAACTTTTTATGTTACCCTTGAAACTGTATACCTATTCTTGTTAGCAGGTAAAATTTTCAAAGTTTGATCGACACATCAGATAAACGAAGTGACTTATTATTTTTACGATTGCGACCTTCTTTTATCAGTCGATCTTTCATTGATACATTGTTGATTCTTGAGAATCACTTTTGTCTCGAGATCTTCGAAATAAAAAATTATGTGGAACTACTATTCAATCTATTTTAATCCCCCTTCAAAATTTTGTCACGCGATTTGTCTCTGTTTAAATTAAGACACGTCAAAGCATAGCTATTTTTATTGCAAACAAAAATAATAAAAGAACATTTTCATTATTACCCATAGGTACGCAGGGATATAGCATTTCTCACACACCTCATGTTGAAGAGGCACAATTACCTACTAACACCTCAGAACATTAGGAATGCCTCTGTTAGTCTTTGCAAGGGGCACCGGTTTATTTTGAGTCTCAATCAGCGGCATGTACAATGAGTCGTAAGATCTAAGTGCTGTGGTGAAAAAACCGCGTCGTAATTACAGGTCGTTTATTCACAGCTATCCGCAAACTAGAACAAATTCATAGAACAACATGTCTCAACATAACAGGAGCCACGAAATCCACACCAACCAGGGCCATGTAAGTCATTCTTAGTCTCACGCCCCTTTATATTTATATCAAAGAGGACTGCGCACGGTTGGAATAAAACCCGATGTAGGATTTGGTGAGGCGAGACGTCGCTTTATGCGGAGGAGCTTGATACGCTTCCACAGCTTCAAGCGAATATGGAATTCATCTCATCGAGATATATCTTCCATAAGTACTTATAACAGAACAAATAGAAGAGCCGGAAGTGACAGATACGATTCATATCTACACCGACGGTTCTAAAATAAAATAAGGCTCAGGATGTGGAATATACTCCAGATTCTTAAACTTAAACATAAAATGTATTGTGCGCAATAGTGCAATTGTAGGTAAAATCGAGTTCACGGGAATTCTCATAGCAGAAAAAGAAGTTACCAGAAATAATATCACTGGAAGAAACATGATCATTTATATATTGTTTGGTTTCTCGTAAAGGCATCTTGTTCTTTTTTACTAGCAAAAAATATAAACATAATATAGACAAGCATCACTCGCCCTGAACAGAACACGAATTTACTCAGGGTTAGTACTAGAATGTCACGAAGCTTTGGCTGAAGTATTCATCAACATTATGTGGTCACCTCAAAATGGATCAAAGGTCACGCCACATCGAAAGGTAACCATCTTGCTGATTCACTGGCCCTTCCATTAAACTGACAACTTCGGTAGTGACAAATCTAATTAAAGAACATTCTCTTGTAAAATTCAAGGAAATAAGGTATGAAAAACAAAAAAATGCAGAGTTGCCATGGAGCTTTTAATTTATCCTGACAACACTACAGCAAATACTTGACTATGACTAGACAGAATCTGCTCCTGATCATAGAAACGCTCTCATTTATTAGAAGATTTGTATTTGGGGAGTATTGTCTAACACCGGCCGATATAAGAGAAGCACCTCTCGGCGACCTTGACAACTACATCAAATCTGTAGGCTGGCTGACGAGCTAAGACGGGCCTATCAATTTAAGAGACTGTACAATGGGCCTAATAAACCGTAAGTGCCATGGAGCAACTTACCCTCCACACGTTACAGATACAGTTTACAGGTCAATATATAATTTTTCTTTAAAATAGGAATTAGACATGTTCTTCAGTCTCTTGAATAAGTTTTTTTTTTGAGTTACTTTTATACTAAAATAATTTTTGAAATTTTAAATAAAAAAAAGTGTGTGTCACTTGTCAATTTCTTCTTCTATATTTATGTATATTTCAAGGCCCTTTTCCTACGGAAATTTGGTCAAAAGCCTATGCAGCCAATACTTTTAACTCTGCTTAATCGAAAAGTTAAAGATTAATAGTTTAAAAAATTAGAAGAATTTAGCCTTGTCATTAATACAAAAAAAATATACATTTTTAAAGCAATATTTTACGATGTAAATACTAATATTACAAGGAAAAATATGCTTTATCTGTTTTTTTTACCATTATAACTAAACAACTGCATCAATTTCTATAGTTTGCATGCTCCTTTTCTTACTGAAATTTGGTCACTTGTCTGGGCTGCTATTTTTTAACTCTTGTGAAAATTTTAGTATTATGAGTACTCGTATGACTAAAGTTTTTGGTATTTTGGATGCCATGCGAAAAGCCATTCGTCTCGTATTCGCTCCGTGCATGACAGTAGCGCCAACTAACCTATGAACTACCGGACGATTTTTTTTGTATACTGACAATACAATTTTTAAAAGAATTCATAATTAAAAATATATATGTTTGGTTTAATAAAAGTATATGGATTTGTAAAACAAGTGAATAAATTATTTTATTGTTATATATTTTTATTGCTTCAGCTAAAAGAAGTAAGTACAAACAATAAAAATCAATAATAAAACATAGGCAGGCAACAGAATTTACGAGAAAATGTATGAGCAGTTGCCTAGGTCTAAGTTGTCTTTGAAGAATAGGTTAAATAATTTCAAAATAAAAAATGTATTAACAAAAGAAAAATAATTGGTAAATGTTGTAAATACCTATATTTATATAAAAAATTATGAAAATACTTGCCTAGTTAAAATAAAAAATGTGTTTTGATATTTTATTTAGCCTCATGAAATAATAATAAATAATAAAATAAAAATTGTAAAACATGTAATACTGGTTGCATAAATTCAGTGAGTAAATTGGATATTAGCATCACAATGATCTACAGCTAAATATTTTAGATAGTAGAGATACATGGATTGTAGAACTAGGAATGCCTTGAGGTCCCATGATTGATATTTATAGCTGTTTAATTCGGGTAATGCATTTAAAATTCAGAGTTAGCCGATAATCTGTTATAATAACAAAGGTGGACACTTCCTATCTGCGTGTATCTCTCTAACACATTGATTACCAGGCCCGTAGCCAAAGGGACTGAGCCTCCCCTAAAACTTATTTGAGCCCCCCCTACAAAATTGCCCTAAACGGCCTTTATTAATGAAAAAAAGCAAATAATTAACAATGAGTCGCGTTCCAGTGTTCTTGACATAATATTATAGAGCTAAAACGTATATTTAACAACAATGATTTTATTGAAGCTATTATGTCAGGAGAAAAAAAAGTAATTGAAAAATGTCAACCACACTAAAACGTAATAAAGCTGGAACGCCATTTTGTTATCAATATATGTGCTTTGTTTTCATTTTTAGTTTACTGTTGTGTTGGTTTTCAGTCTTCTCACAATTTCCGTGTATGCAAGCATTAGAAATTTAGTTTATTGAGAGTTTAAAACATGTTTTATCTCTACTAATAAACTGAACAAAATTTAAAATATATTAGTGCTTTTACAAAAATTTAGTGGGAGAAAGCTTCGATTTGTAACCTACTCCTAAAAGTAAAGGTAGTATTTCCATAAAGAACGTGTATAAAGAACTGTATTACAATGTCTATATTATGCAACTTGTTTAACATATTTATTGGGTAGCGCTGCAATGTTGGTTGCATACATTTCGGCAGCGGCATATTCCTGCAGAAGCACTGGTAATACAATTACCATATCTGGTGCCTATGAATTATATTCTATGGATTAAAAGTTTAAACACCTAAAACTAGTGTGTCTAATAGCTCAATTTCTACCTGTATACCACAACCCCTTCTACATATTGTATGGTTTCCCGTAAAGGCATCTTGTTCTTTCTTAATAGCACAAAATTTAGGAAGTTTACAGAAAATCCAAAATAGAGGAATGAGAGTAATACTTACTACCTTGTGATAGGAACACATATTATTATATAACAATAGCTAAATTCATAACACATTTTTTTATTAATATGTAATTATGGTATGGCTTATTGAATAATTATGTATTGTAGAAGTATTTTAAAGTATTTATTTTGTAATATTGTATTTTATTGATTAGTTTTATTTACTAAACAAAGAATTAATATATATGATGTTCCAAAACTCACCGTATCTGCTGCCGTTAAGTTGATACCAAGACCACCCGCCCTTGTAGAAAGTAGAAACACAAAAATATCTGTTCTAGCTTGAAAATCAGCAACCATATCCCTTCGTTCAGAGATTTTGGATGAACCGTCCAGTCTCATGTATTTATGATGCCTGTGCCACATGTACTCCTAAAAAACAATTTCAATATTATCTTTGTAATATTTCGAAACCGAATTTGATCTTACTTCTAAAAGATCGATCATCTTAGTCATTTGAGAATAAATCAAAACCCTGTGTCCTTCTTCTTTCAACCTCTTTAACAGTCCATCCAAAACTGACAATTTTCCAGAATCCGTGACTAAACTTTCCTTATCTGGAATAACGACGCTGGACCAACCATTAATGGGCTTAACGTTATCAGCACAACTGAATGGTGCTGGATGTAAACTCTGAGATGATTTGTAATTGAATGCATTATCAGTTACTTTCGACCAATAATAATTTAGAGAATTGAAACTATAATCGTCTATGTGTCGTTTCAGATCCCAAGCTGCTCTACGGGAATAACAGTATAAATCTATCGGGCCTGTCGCTACCTGGAAATTAAAATTATCGTAAGAAAAATGAGATAAATTCAGAAATTTTATAAAATATTTATTAATAGTCTTTAATTCTACTTATTTTCAAACTTGAAGTCAATAACATTATAAATAAATAGAAGATTTACATATTAAACCTAAATTAATACTTACTCTAGGCATATTATAAAATAAAAATCCGGGTAATTCAGTCTTAGTACATTTGAACACTTGCGTTGGCCTTTTAATATAAGGAAAATCAGTCAGAGAATTTTGTAATTGTTTCTAAAAAATTAAAATCAAGTATATATCCATCAAACAAACAAATCCCACAATTACTTACAGGTCCGTCTTCATTAACAACATCGACAACAGTATTATCTTCCAGCAAAAATTCCTTTTTTAACCTGATATTTTTGTGTTCAACGGTTTCAGGCATGGAATGGTAGTAGTGATCAGCATGAGTATAGAAAACTCTATTCCCCCTATTTTGTTCGGTGAAAATTATCTCGCTAAGAATTGAACTGGTTTTTATTTGCCATTTATTCAGTCTGAAGAAGTTTCTCAGCCGCAAAGTAGGCTCCCGTGTTGACTTAGGGTTCCATACCTTTCTATGATAAATTATCTCGTCGGTTTTCTCAGTGTCATAATAATGCCTCCATCTAAACAAGACATATAGGTTTGTTAGAAAACAAGATGCTAATGCTGCTAATATCTATGAAATTAAAGGTAGGGTAATGAGTATCAAAAATAAAAAAGCTACAGATTGGTATGATATGTCATGCATCATGTGTCAGATAATGTTTTTACAGTGCTGACAGATGCCATGAATATGTCATTTTTCTCAGGACAATATGCTATGGTGATATCTATATTTTAAGTTGATGATAAAAAATTTCTGCTGATATGTATGCTGCCTACATTGGCAAAAATTATTAAAAAAACTGGTGAAAAGTTAAATAAATATTATTTTATTTAATTTAGACAATTTGGTTTTCAATCCAATAAAAATACGTGCCTTTATTTTCTTTTCTAGAGAAACTACATTTGGAGCTAAATGGAAGTTTAGTTGCTGCAGCGTTATTCTGTGATTTATTTAAAGCGTTTAACTGAGTAAATCACAGAAAATTACTAAGTAAGTTGAAAAAATATGGTTTTAGGGGTATGGGTTTGTAATGGTTGAAATCCTATTTGTCAAAGATATGTCAAAGTGTAGTGGTTAAAAAATATAACTCAAATTGTCGTCTTGTTGATAGTGTTGTACCTCTAGGGTCTATTCTGGGGCCGCTACCTCCTTTTTTATTGGTCATCAATGACTTGCCCAATAATATTAGGAGATTATCTACTATTTTTGCTAATGATAGGACCATAATGTGGCACGACAAAAATAAAGACACTAGCTAGCAAAATTAGTACTGATATTATTTTAATAAAACAGGGGCGTGATTATAACCTATTAGGCTTCAATGTTTCTAAAACTAGTTTGATAACTTTCAATGTCAAATGCATTTCAGATGTTGTTCTTGCCCAACAAAACATACAAAATAAATAATAATAATAGCCGTCCCTTCCCCGGACAAGCTCTTCTTTTGGGGTCAAAATTCACTTGTAAGGAGGTGAATTAGGGAGAGTATTATTACTATTATTATTAACCGTTGTATAATTTTATATATTACTCTATCTATATATTTATGTACTCTTAAGTGTTTATTTATATGTCTGTTCCTATAGCTGCATTCCGATGTGTCTCTGACTAGTGCATGGATGTGTTCTTAAACTAACCACTGAGCATGTCACTCAGTTTATTCGTCCGTCGTTTTATCACTTACTTGTACTTGTTGGAACGCAAAATGTAATGGAAATGGACAAACCAACCACATATTAGGTGAATAGGTATGTTAAACATTATTTAAAATACAACATAATACATTTATTTAGCTGTCTTGAACGATTTATTTGAATGCATAATTTTGAAACCATAAAATGTTTATTGTTATAATAAGTATTCACATGAAAAATGAAAGAAATATAAATCCAATCCACTCCAAGCTAACTTCAAATCGCAGCAATAACAAATAGCATGAACAAGAAAAGACGCTCAAATGCACGTGTGCTGATAAATTATACAAACGATGAAGCTCTGATCGTTTTGACAATCCGCTGACACATTAATGTACGAATCAGAAAATACATTGGAACGTTTTACTGACAGTTCATCAGATTATCCGTGACTTTGTTGGAACGGACTATTTTCAATGTCCATGTATTCCGATAATCATATGAGGTGTTGAAAGAAATCTATTTCTTGTATCTTTTAAAGTGTACATTGTTTTCTTTTTTTATATATTATTTAAAAGATGTAAATCTTCGGACAATAAAGCTATTTTGATTGATTAATAAAATTACCTGTGCAACACGTCTCCTAGAAATATGTGATAAATATCCTTAAAAGATAAGTTCACACTAAAGCAGAAATTGAAGATGGAGTTGCTGTAATCCTCTCTGATGCATTTAGACGTATAGTCCGGTGTGAAAATGAAGTATCTGCTAATTTTTTGCATCAATATTTGCCTGATATTTTCGTCATAAATGAGATATGGTATGTTGTATTGTACTGGGGAGACCCTTATTGGGGATTTCGCATCTCTCCTTTCAAAAAGTTCAGGGTGGTTGCAAACCTAAAGAACAAAAATATTTTATAAGTGAATTCAAATTGATTTTTAACCAGCTTACTTTTCGGAATTGCATAACCAAATTCATCAAATTAGATGTGAAATTCTTATCGACTGTGTGGGAATCACCTCCGCCAACGGTGTAGTGCAGTAAATCTTCTATTTTGATTTTTTGTTTCAACGCCAAGTATAGCAAATTCTGTCTGGTGGTCAATGGACAATATACCATTACTTCGATTTTATCAGACAGCTCATTTTCTACATCTTTCTTGATTCTTCTCAACATAAACGGTTTTAGGATCATATGCAATCGTGAGAGATGCTCTGAAAATTACAGTTAGGTTCACAAATTAAACAAAATGCTCCCAGACAGATTTCTCAGTTCTGTGCGGGAAAGATATTTAACAAAATAGAAGCAAAAAACTAACTTTCATCAATGCCTGTCTTGTTCTCAGCATGGCTTTCGATGTCCTTGGAAAACCATTCATTAAATTCTTCGTGAGAGTCAAACAACGTGGGCATAATGAAATGCAGCAACGCCCAAAGTTCAGCCATACTGTTTTGTATAGGAGTACCACTCAATAGCAACCTATTTCTGCAACTAAAACCCAAAAGCGTCTTCCATCTCATAGAACTCGTACTTTTAATAGCCTGAGCTTCATCTAAGATCATATATTGCCATTTTATCCTATTGAAATACTTTATATCGGTTATTACTATCTGGTATGAGGTAACGACTATGTGAAAACTCGCGTCTTTGGTGTACATGTCTTTTTGATCCCAAAATTGCCTTAGAATCTTTCTTTCATTTGGGTTTCCCCAATAAGGAACCACCTTGAAGCCCGGCACAAATTTTGCTATTTCTTGTTGCCAGTTGTGGAGAGTGGAGGCAGGAGATATTATTAGAAAAGGACCCCAGACCGCTAAAAATACAAAATATCCTAATAATATATTTATTTACCATAAGTAGTACATTAATTTGTTTAAAATACAGTTTATATTGACCTAACACAATAAATATCTATTTATATAAATAGGCAGAGACAAAATAGTTAAGTACCATTTTCTCTTCTGTTTGTGGACCGATTGTCATTTTTTGGGTGTTTAGTAGCTGTTGACGAGCTTCATATTATCAATAAAAATTATTTAAATTATTTTAAAAATCCGTTGATCCACAATAATTATGATATTGACTAGTAAAATTAGCCTATAGCGAACATGTGCACCCTTTAATTTCGAACCGATGTTGACAATATTACATGGACGGAAAGAGGATCGCGAAAAACTAAAAAAAAAAAAATACTTCTCCCCCCACCCCTCCAACGCCTAAATGGTAAGGGATAGAAAAAAACGATTTCAAACCGCCCAACTTTGGGTATTTTGAGATATTTGTTGTATAAATAATTAAAAAATAAGGATTTTTAAATTGTGAGTTACTGTCATTTTATTGTATTTATTTTTTTATTTAATTATAATGGTACTGAACTATGTTTTATTGTATTGTAAGTACATAATTATAAAAGTTTATGGTCTCAGATATACAATGAATGAATGTATAACAATAAAAAAATGTAAAATTTTCTATAACAATTATGATTCTAGTTTTTATTAGTTGATTACATTAAAATTATTTTTAATTTACTTATGCACATTTAACCAGATTAAGCAAAATACATAAATTATTGTCTATTTATGTATTGTATACTTACAGTATTTTTCAGCGATGTGGCAAAGAAAGGCTATGCTCTGGACAGTTTTACCAAGACCCATCTCATCTGCTAAAATGCCACTAATCCCCTGAGAGTATAAATTGGCTAGCCAATTCATTCCTCTAAGTTGGTATCCTTTTAATTGGCCTCTAAACATATCAGGTTGAGGTTGTTCCCCTTCAAGATTGTCGAAATCTCCAAGACAGGAATTTGCTTGCTGGTCAAAATGCATGGTTCTTGCCTTTTCACTTTGGAACGCATCCAGGGCGTTTTTCTTCGCGACCTCTTTCATGTTGTCGCTTTAAAAATAAATAATTTAGTACCAGTTGGTGTGAAAACGCTTTCATTGCTTATGATACATACTTACAAAAATAAATCTTTTAGACCGTTTCCAGATATTTACATTAAAAATATTCATAAAAAAGGCTTTATTTATAAATAATACATTGATTGCAAAACACAAAAAGTATAAAAATATAAAAAATGTCAAAATGAAAATACTCAAAAACTAAAATGAAAATATTCAAAATCTAAAAGAAATGGAGAGTCTAATTCTAAGATAGGACACAGTTCTTCTATCCATCATTCAACTGAGCCCTGAAAATTGAAAACTTAAAGTCAAAATGGTGGAATAAAATCATGTAAATAACTTGAAATGTTCTAGAAAAGTTGAATTTAATTCTTGTGTAACTTAAGTTTAGGCATTTAAATGCAATACTAACCTATAATATAGACGTGTATTTTAAGTAGAATACGACCGCAAAAAAATCAGTAAGGCAGATTATTTTAGGCTGAATTAAAAAAAAGTACAGGTTATTTACTGCTAAACACTAGACAAAGCATGGTTTGCACTAGTTTTAAGCAAAATACCAACAAACTTCGGAACTGCAGGCAACCCTAGTTATTGTTAAAGATGAGGTTGTCAGCTTTAATAACAATTAGGGTTGCCTTTGTTTGTTTGGTGTTGAGCAATTATTGACATAATTTTTTTCAATTCAACTTAAAATAATCCACCTTATCGATTTTTTGTGGCAGACTCTCAGGACCGAACTTAAAATACAAAGGCGGGAATAAAATTTTTACGAAAACGAATAACTTGTAATTTACCTATCGTAGGTGTCGCACGCCAGTTTGGTAGAGCTCTCTTCGTCTAACTGACTTAAGATTCTCAACTGTTCTTCAGGCGATACTTGTCCCAGCTTCTTGGACATAAAATGGGCATACAATTCCGTCTGAGTAATAAGGAAATTAAGTTTCCTTTGCTGCCGCTTGGCTTCGACAAGTTCATGGTCGATTTTTCGCTGTTCTTCTGCTTCCTTTTCTAAACGCTTCTTCACCTCCCGGTCAAAACGACGGGAACGTTTCCAGTACGCTATGTTTTCTCTAGCCAGACGCTTCATTCGCCATTGCTGTTCCTTTACGATTCTCGCACTCTGAAGCTGCAATAAAGTAAGAGATAAACATTATCAATTATAAAAAAAAATAAACACTTATAATAGTAGTAATTATAATAAACAACTTTATTAAAAAATGTTAGTACAATGGGTCAGATTAAGCTACTCTTACACCTAACCTTAAAAGCTGATTGATTATAATGAGCAGTTTTTGTTTAAGATAAAATACAAAATATATAGATAAATAAATTATAATGATCGAAATCATGTTGAATAGAAATTACAATTAGGATTAAAATAGGGCGTTATACATTAAAGAATCTACAATACAAATAACATTTTTATAAAAAAACCTATGTAATATCTAATGTTTAAAATAATTATGGATTTAATACATTAACAATTATTGTTTAAATTATTGTATAGTTTTATGCCTTGTATATAATAAATTTGGTATTCGACTAGATTGCCAATATAAATCGGCATATTGATCATTAATAGTGAGTAAACTTAAGTATGTTGCTTAGTGTGGTTCCCAATTTATCAAAATTCTATTCAGCTACTGAAACTGTCCAAACGTAAAAGTTTAAAATATAAGTATTAGAAATGTTACAGTAATTAACCAGAAAGAGGTTTTCCACATGCTTTATTACTTGAAACTCTTAACTTTGATACATTAAATTATCGCAGTCATAAAATAACTATAAAATTTCTGTATTATTTGAATAAGAATAAACTAGACTCTCCATATTTATTATCGAAAATCAATTTAACATTTCCTAGTATCTTGAGACCACTTTTTACTTTTTAGTCTTCTCAATGTTTAAAAGGATTTTTAAAATTTTAGTAACAATTGAGCCTTACTCTGTTAGTGCTTATATAGATTATCAAATGCAAATGTTAGAATAGCAGTAATATTATTTTCTTTCTTGAAATGATAAATTATTATTATTTATAATATGAATTGTAGGACGAATATATTGGCCAGGTCAACTGTATGTACAATGTTTAGTGTATTTAATAATTTTTGTGAATGCTGTGGTGGGCGATTCTATTCTAATTGAAAGGACACCACAGTGAAATATATGCATATTAAGTTATTGTTCAATAGGTAGTTAAAAATCAATATTAAAAGATGGTAAAATTGGTAATAAAATCAAATTAGAATTCAATGCTAAAAATGTTTGATAATAAATTATAAACACTAGTGACACAGAAATAAAAAAAAACTTACTGCCTTCTGTCTGGCATACTTCACGCAATGGGAAGCAACTCTTTTGCACTGCAGCAACATTTCCTTATGCTTATTGATTTTAGATCTATGCTGCTTTCCAATTTCCTTCTTCACAATGCTGGTAAACAGTTTTCTTCTTTTAATTGTCATCATATCCTCCCATTTCCTTCTGGACTCCTCATCTTTGAACTTCTTGGCCTTTTTCTTTGGTAAATTCGGGTTCATTTGGGATACTGGTACTGATTGGTTAGCAATAACAAGTCCATAGTCAGGTGGTGTGTATTTTTCTTCAATGTCTTCCATTGAATGAAATTCCATGCCATTCTGGAGATTCAAATCTAGCACTGGCTCATCCTAGAAAAAGATTTGTATTTCACATTTACAACAAAAATAAAATAGGTTTATTTTTTTTACATCCCTTACCTTTGGAAAATGTTTAGACTGCAAAATTAAAATGATTATTTTAAATAAATGTGTGTAATTTTTTTACTACTTACAGATATTTCATCTAATATTTCAGGATGGTATAGTGGCGACTTTGAAATATCTTCAGTTTTTATTTTGTGTTTCTTAACAGGTACAGGAAGATTTTTTTCTATTTCTGGGTAATGATCCTCAGCACTTATTAACCCAGCCCCATAATATTTATAATTATCACAGTTCTAAAGTTAAAAAACAAATGTTCATAAATAATATTGTCAATATTGAAGGAATTAATTCATTGGCCTATTTTAAGACTAAAATTTCAAATAACAGGCTGTTAAATGTATAAAGAAAAATTATTTTTTCATTATTATCTCAATCTCAGATTTGACGATTTTGATTAAACTTGGCAGTATTGTTTGTAGTACCATAATTTTAACTTATTAAAAATATTAAGTCCTCTTGCATTCCAAGGGCATCCTAATTGATATTTTTTAACACCCTGCGTATCTCAAAAAAAGGCAATTTAGAAGCACATGTTTATACAAAATTTTAGTCATAAAATAGGCTAAGGAATTACATCCTTTAATATTGACATGCCATTTAGAAAACTCTTGTATTAGATTTTTACTTACTTCTTTTGTTTTTCTTAAAAATTTTTGATAAGAGTGCATTCTCATAACATATTTATACTGTACATCATCAGGAGTACTATCAGAATTTTCCTGTAACACATCTGCTAACCATTTCCTTCGAGCCGAGACACTTGAAAAATTGTAATATTCTTTGGGCGAATTAGGTTCTGGATCTGAAATCATATATATATGAACATTACAATGACATATACAGGATGTTTTACAAAGTTACATTCAACGCCATCAGTACGAATAATAATAAAAAACTGATTTTGTTTGTAAAAATTTAAAACTAGTTTAAGGAAAACAGGCTTAAGCTAAAACATTTCCTAAAGAATCATCTAAATCGTTGGGCGCATCTATGTGAAACATCCTGTTTAATTATATAACGAGTGAACCTCTTAAAATATTTTCCAAGTTAGTGTCACTGAGACTTCCTAGGTCTTCATCAGAATCATCAGAGTCACTACTTAGTTGTAACTGGCTATTAACATTTTGTAAAAACATATTCAGGTCTAAAGCTTGTTCAATCCTTCGTATATGAATCGGTTTAGCTGGAGAGGGCCTATTACTTTGATCTATATAAATATTATTGCCTAAAACAGAGTCTCGATCAACTTTACCATCGTTGAATATAAATTTGCGTACATACTGGGTAATATTTTAAAGGATTTATCACCGCTATTCCGCATGCTTGATAAGTAGAATAAAAACTTTGTGAGAACGTATTATACTTTTCAATATTCTCAATATTCAACTCATTCTATTTATTCATTTTTTTAAACATAACCTGACTCCAATTTATACATCAAACTTCAAACTCTTCAAACACAAGAACGCGTTCTAGTTTTTAGTGATGGAAATGACAACTACCAACTCCTAGACCACCCAAGCTTCAGCTACGAACGTATCTATGACAAACGAACAAACATAAATATAGAGCAAAACATCAAACGTAACAACCAATTTGACGTTTATTGTTTATGTGTAAAATAAAATTAATTTAAAAAAATTTAAAAACATATGTTAAGGGGTTGATTTTTTATCACAAAAATGACTTCAGTGGAAGAATTACAGGCAAAAATAAAGGATTTAGAAGAAAAACTATTAATAGCCACACAAAAAAATGTAGCAAGGCAAAAAATAAAAGAAATGTCTTCGGAAGTGGTAGATTCAAATCCATACAGGTGTGTAATTACCTATTATTTTTAAATGATACCACGTTACTAATACATTTTTTAGTCGATTAATGGCCCTTAAACGAATGGGTATAGTAAATAATTATGAAAAAATAAGGGATTATACTGTAGCTGTGGTTGGAGTGGGTGGTGTAGGAAGTGTTACAGCAGAAATGCTTACAAGATGTGGCATCGGAAGGCTTATTTTATTCGATTATGATAAAGTAGAATTGGCAAATATGAACAGATTATTTTTTCAACCCCATCAATCTGGATTAAGCAAAGTAGAAGCAGCAGCAGAGACATTAAGAAATATAAATCCAGATGTTGATATCCACACATACAACTATAACATTACCACTGTAGAAAATTTTGATAATTTTACAGAAGTTTTGAGGTAAAAACTCTTCTTACTCTGAATTTTATTTGACACATCATGAGTATTGTTTTTTAGAAAGAGTAGTTTATCTGATGGTCCTGTAGATATAGTATTAAGTTGCGTAGACAATTTTGAAGCAAGATTTGCCATTAATACAGCTTGTAATGAATTTAATTTAACTTGGTTCGAATCTGGAGTATCTGAGAATGCTGTGTCTGGGCATATTCAGTTCATAGTTCCTGGAGACACTGCTTGTTTTGCAGTAAGTGTATATCTGTGTGTCAAAAGTACAAATATTAATGCTCTTGTTTTTAGTGTGCACCTCCATTGATAGTAGCTTCCAATATAGACGAAAAAACTCTTAAAAGAGATGGTGTTTGTGCAGCTAGTCTTCCCACAACAATGGGTATTGTAGCTGGATTTCTAGTACAAAATACTTTAAAGTATTTACTCCAATTTGGTCAAGTTACTAACTATTTAGGATACAGTGCATTAACGGATTTCTTTCCTACAATGACACTAAAGCCCAATCCAAACTGTGAGGACTCATATTGCAGATTGAGGCAGAAAGAATTTGCTTTAAAACCCAAACCAGAGATAGCTGTTGAAGCAAAGGAAGAAAAACCTGTTCATGAAGATAATGAATGGGGCATCAGTCTTGTTGATGAAAGCAAGGATGTGAAAGATCAAGTAACAGTTGCTGAAGGTGTACAGTTAGCTTATACCTTACCTAATCAAGCTGCTGTTGAAGAATGTGAAGAAGCAACTGCTGATACTGATGTCAGCTTAGATGAACTTATGGCTCAAATGAAAGCTATATAAAAAAACTTGTTAAAGCCTAACCATTTTGTTAATTCTTTGGAAATTTTATATATGTACCCATTAAATCATTTATAATTAATTTGTCCAATTTTATGACTATAATTTATTATAAAAAAATATATGAATATGACGCTCTACTATCGCTCTTTGCAATAAATTTTTATTTTATATAGATATTTCTGTAATTTAATTTAAACCTCTAACCTAAACTACTGCATTTAAACGAGCCGGGGTCTTTGTCCCCCGATTTATTGGCCAATCTAAATGCACTTTTATGCATTTTGATACTAATTTAATTTTACCCTCCAATTATGGAGCTAATTTAGCAACACGTGGCGCTGCTCTGTAACGTGATTGGTTACTTGTTAACAATGACGCCACCCGTCATGTATTTGTCAATGTCACATCTGTCAGTGTCAATTTTGTTTATTTGCCGAGCAGCTTTTGTACAGGCCGTATTTTTAATTTATAATGTAACTAATCAAGGAAGCAAATATGTCCTTAGGAAAAATCAGAATGTCCAAAGTATGTTTCATACTAATTATAGTCGCATTCTTTGCTATCTCCGCTGTTATTTTCAACCAAATCTACCTAACCTCAACCATGGTTGTAGATGAGGAGTTTCACCTTCCCCTTGGCATATCTTACTGCAAGTTTAATTTCTTCGTGGTACGTAAGTAATAAATTAAACTGTAACTCACCAGTGACTTTAATAATTTTGCAGTGGGATCCTAAAGTAACAACTTTACCAGGGCTGTATTTAGTCAGTGCCCTGTTTATGGGCCCCCTCAAATTGTGCACCATTTACTGGATGCGATTTGTGTCGCTCGTATGTTCTATCTTTAATATCATTTTATTCTACAAACTTTTTAGGAAATATGAAAAGGTATGTCAAAACTGATTTTGTGATACAGAGTGTACCAGAAAATATTGCATTTTTCACATATTGGAGCTATATTAAGTTTAAAAAATAAATAGTAATATTTTGTGTGTCAAATGGTGGCAGAAAATCATATACAGAGTCGTCACCAATACCTGTATCCCATGTGATTAAATTAAATTTATCAGTTGGCTCAAAGTAACATATCATCTGTGATACTGTAATAAGAGCTGTCACGAAAAATTAATTTTACAGATTATAGAATGCTAATAAGTACTATATAAGAATTCCTACATAGATCATATTGCCAGATATTATAAATACATTTTTGGTATACTGACAATACATATTGCAATGCATGGAGCACAGTTTATTCCATACAATAAAATGGATTGTTAACATAGCTTGTCTTGTAGTATCAACGATATATAATTTCAATAGTAACCATAAAACATGTCATTGACCTATGTGACAATACTGATGCTTAAATTGCTATAAAAGTCACTAAATTAATTTTTTTTTTTAGTTTACTAGATGACATGGGATATGAAAGTTCTTAAAAACTGGTTATTTACATTAACAAATTAACTTTGTAAACTTCTTTAACATTTTTTGGACATAGTTAGACCTTCCCCCATTCAAGGAATGCATCATTTTCTGGAACACATGTAGTGCATACTAAAACATTGTATTTTTAGAATGAATGGGGAAACATATTATCGTCTATTACATTAGCTCTGCTGCCTCCATTGTACTTTTTTAGCAACTTTTATTACACTGACGTTGTGTCCATGACTATGATTCTGTCAATGATTGTTGCTAATGAAAAGAAACATCACTATCTTGCAGCTATCTTTGGTAAACAATTTTTGTACTTAATAATTTATTAAATATATTATTTTGTTAATTTATTTCAGGTTTGTTCTCTGTCATTTGTCGCCAGACAAATGTTGTATGGGTGGGACTAATAGCTGCAAGATATATTTTGACTGAGTTGTATTCTTTTACAAAACTAAGACAACAGGAAAAAGGGGTACCAGCCAAGGTATTTTTGTTATGAAAAACGTAATTAACATTCTAATATCATTTGTTTTTACAGGATCTATTCACCTTTTTCAGAAGAGTGATAAAACGTCCACTAAAAGTCTTGGAAAACTCTAATATCCAATTTTGGTTGGATACTTTGTCCTATTTAGCAACTTTGGGAACATTTGTGTTGTTTATAAAGATTAACGGTAGCATCGTAGTTGGAGATAAGTCAGCACATGAGGCAACAATTCATATACCTCAACTTTTTTATTTCTCTATATTTTGTCTAGTGTTTGCTTGGCCACATTTTGTAGGGGAAGTTCTGAATTTCATCACTTTTACAAAGAGAAACAAATTACTTATTTTTATTTTGATAATTATATGTTTTTTGATTGTTTATGCAAATACTTTGGTCCATCCATATATGTTAGCTGATAATCGTCACTACATCTTTTATATTTGGAACAGATTTTATGGAAAATATGCTCTGTTTAAATACACAATCATTCCTGTCTATATATTTGCATGGTATGTGATTATAAAATCCCTATACAGCAAACATGATATAAGTTTTCTTGCGTTGTACTTACTATGTACCACTGCTGTATTAATTACACAAAAGTTGATAGAAGTCCGCTACTTCTTTATTCCATACATCCTCTTCAGGCTGAGAATAAAAACAAATACAAATTCTGTGTTCAATATTGTACTGGAATTTGTGACTTACCTGGTTGTAAACAGCATTACTTTAAATTTATTTTTCACCAAAACTATCATATGGCCAGAGTATGAAGATCCCCAAAGGTTAATTTGGTGAATTAAACCCATGATACCAAAATTATTTATTTTGTGATATTTTGTTATGATTTAAAAAATTGTTTGTTTTGTATTATATTTACTTCAAGCATTCCAGACTTAACTATGTTTATGATTAAACTTCTTTCACCTAAAATTGTACCTTTGATTTTTAGATAAACAGAAATTTTGTGAAACATGTATATATTATAATAGCAGAACATGCCAAAATATTGCTAGATTTACCAATGACTTTTTCCAATAACATTATTGGCTTCTTTAACGTAACAACAAAATAAATGTGTCCAAATAAATATTCTTCTAAAGATTTACTATTTGTAACTAAACCATATTTTTGTAGACTGTAAAAAATTATGTCGATTTCTTTATATTAAAATATGTTTATTTATATATTTTTTTTAAATGCATGTTTCTTAAAAAGTATTTTGAAATACTGTATATGTTATCTACCATGTTTGCTGAATCAAAAACCAATCTAGACTGATTGGCCACTTCTAAAAAATATCTTATTGGTACAGTTAGTGCACTATAACCATTGTTTGTAAAGAATTTATGTTGTGCAAACATATACAGAGTTTGGAAAAATTACGTCATTCCGTTTTGATTTTATTTCGGTTCGAAAGACCATTTGTGAAGTTGATTTTGGGCACAAAATATTTTATTTTATAAATAGGTGCAACTCAAGAATGACAATTTCTTTACTGAACTGTGTATTATAATTAAATGTAATATTCAACTTGTCGAAATTAAATAACAACATATTTTATGAAGAACATTGAAAAATATAAGGCATTAAAAAGAATATGGATGGTTTTATTTTTAGAACCAAAATACTTGAGGTTTATCATTTTATTTTTATTACTGAAAACAAAATACAATTAAATTTATGCCTTATAAAAACGTTTCAGTTAAATCAAGTCTTAAATAAATAGTTTCTAGACATATGCACAAATGATTAAGTATTAAAATCAGGGTTTTTTCTTAATATAACAAAACCTTCCATGATGGGTGTAAGTGCTATATATTCTTCAGTGGCGAGCTCAGCCCTTTCTCCATATGCTAACAATACTGGAGTTGTATGCGTTTGAAAACCTGTAATTGTTTTCGGTTTTCCTGCTTGTCCAACTACATCCACAGCCTGAAACAACATTTTCAACAAATCTTATTATAAAAAAAAAACATTTAACTTACCAAACCCACTCTTACAGGTACTGGCAAAGGGTTCAAGTCTTCATCAAATGTTACAAGCATTCTGGGTTGCATGGCAGCTGCTAATGTATATAAAAGATAATGGGATCTTCCCAAAATTACTGAAAAAATAATATATTTAAGTAGTAGTAAATATATACATAAAATGTTGCCAAGAATAAAATAATAATTATTGAAAAATATGATAGTAACTTACTATTTTTTACATCTAAAAATCCAATAAGAGTAGCCATTAAGCCAGCAACAGCCACTGGACTCATCAGCTGCCTATCACTGTGGTAAGGACTTAAAGTTAATGTACCTTTACCTAAATGTGTAAGACCTTGTGCGATGCGTACCATAAACAAGTTATTAGGATCCTTAGCATGGTACTGTGCCAGCTGCCTCAACATTGCAGCTAATCTAGCATTATTAGTACCAGCTCCAACTAATCCCATGGCGAAAATAGCGTTATGAGCTACTTCAGCATCGCTATCGTGAGAAAACTTACTCAAGGTGTCCAGAATGCTCAATTTAGGATTTGATACTGAAATGAGACCTAGAGCCAGAGGTACTGCACGACGTATTACTGGTTCACAGTACCGAAGTAGATGTCCAAAGGTGCGGAAAGCCATCTCACTACCTATATCTTCACCCATACTGATTAGAGCTATACCAAGAACAGCTACAGCTTGTCTTGAAGAGAGATCTTTTTCTTTTTCAGTAATTTCTTTTTTATCCTTATCTTTTGAACTCTTGTCTGAGCTGTCAGCTCCATCATAGTGTTCAGAGCAAATATGGAGTAGATGTTGCACTTTTAGTACATTACCAGTACCAGCATAAGCACAAATATCAACCATTGTGGTTGCCATGGACTTAAATGGCTCTGGGATAACTTCCAGAGCTGCAATTATGGTATCAATGCCTTCTTGTTTACCCAAGTGGCATAAACCAAGTCCTAGGGGTAAAAATCTGGCATATGTGTCTTTTAATTCAGATTCAGACTTTTCCATTAAAGTTTGCATAATGGTAGTGGTAACTTGAGGATTTCCAGAACCGACTGCTATCATTCCACATGCCAGAGCAGACATTCCAATGACTTCCATGTTGGATTTAGGATCAGAGAAGACTGGAGTTAGCAAGCTTAAAACTGCTTCTCTATTGGAACCTACATAAGCCAATCCCAGTCCTACTATAGCGCCTATCCTCATGATGTTTGTATTATGTAGCACATAATCACTCAACAGAGCTAGTGCTGGGTCACATTCATTCCTAACACCACAATTTACAATACCACATGCTAACAGAGCTCCAGATTTGATGTGATCTTCAGAAGAGTACAAATATTTATCAATGGGGGTAAGACCACCATCTACATCCCACAGTAATACCAATCCCAATGAAGCAGTTGCGCTGAGCATTCCATGTTCTTTGTTTTTGTACAACCATTTATTACCATCTTCCATCAAGAGCTTATCCTGGCCAAAAGCAGCATTCACAAAACCATTTACAAAGCTTGCAGCTAAGTTTTGTCTGGCAGAGTCAACTTGACTACCCCCAAATGGGGGACGGCTGTTTTCTAAATGTGACTTGTACACATCTTCAGGAGTTTTTGGATCCATGATATCCAATTCACGGGCGAGATTTAGGAAGTGGTTGTTCAGATGACAGTTGGCCATTATTTCTATGAGGTCTTCATATTCTGGAGTGCTTTCTGGAATTTCAATATAAATTTGTTGCCTCCCTAACATGAATGCCAACTGCTTTTGAATATCACTAGAAAATTAAATATATTTAACAAAATAAAATAAATAGGGTTACAAACTTACGTGTCTGGACAATTCACAAATATTTCTTCTATAAGACTGTGATCATTTAGTTGCATGGCTAATCTAAGAGCTTGAGGATGCTGTTTAAATTTTCTGAATAACATTAGTGCAGTCTGAAGTAAAGTAGTGTTTTCTGGATCTGCTACATAAGGTACACAACTGAAATATACTCAATTTATAACAAATACATATCATTTTAAATAAATTAACATTTGTACCTTGTAAGATATAAGCAAACTCTAGAATATATATTTTCATCAACATATTGTTCAAGTAAATCAAGTCTCTCAATCTCCATCAAAAGATCACAAGCTTCTGCCTCTGCATTATGAGCCATATTGTAGGGTACAATTTGCTTAGTTAACAAAATAAGCTTATCTCTAACTTCAGTGTTTATTATAAAATCAGTTTCTGCCCATTCTCCTGCAATTTCCCCAGCCAAATGCCTAAAAATATTTACATTACAGACCTGCAGGTCTTTGGATTAAAAAAGAGAAAATTACCTAACATATTCATGTCCCCATTCTCCAATTTTGTCTAAATCAGACAGCAATCTATACTTAAGACAGTCTCTGCCTTCTCCCATAGTCATAGCCAATACAGAAATAATATCGGCACAAACTTTTTTGACAGGGGCATCAGTAATTTTTTCATGAATTTGTTTCATGGTATCATAATGAGGCTTCATGAATTTCAAAGGTTTGGGAACTGAAGTCATTGAAGTAGTAGAAGCTCGAATGTGATTTGCCAAAGCTTGCAGAGCTGGTAAGTAAAGTTTGGTATCGTTTTCCTAAAAAAACCGAGGGTTACTCTTTTTAAATTACAATAAATTGATAATTACTTACCAGTAGTTTTTCAACACACAAGTTTAGTTCTTCTTGCAGTTGTTTGTCTTCATCAGACTGGAAAATTATCAATTGGTTAAATAAAAAATGGATGTTGCAATTTGCAATAAAGAAAAACTTACCAATTCATTTTTGTTTTTGTCATCATTTTTACCATTTGCCTTTACTTCCACCTTGACTGGCTCGGCTTTTGTTTCGCTCATTTTGGACCTTTATTGGCAGATTCGTATGAATAGCACAACTTTTTTGCAAATTCGTTGTATTGGGCGTATAAACTAATAAAACGACCGCTTACAACTGACCAAAAATATAAAGTAACCTCACTATCTTACAACTTTTTGTTAAAAATCTCATGAAAGCATAAATTGCTCCGTCATGTTTGGAATCGGCACATTTGTCAAATGTCAATGTTGTCAACTGTTCGTTTTCCCAGTACTGGAACAAAACCTCCACTAAGTTAGCAAGGGGTCAGATTCGGTATTCGGTGAAAGATGAGAGCAATGCCTAGAACGGTTTTCATGAACGCGAATATATCGAAAATCCCCGAAGATACCCTAAAAAAACCGATGTGCGGTAGCGAAATATCAATGGTGGTGTATATGTGTATCAATGTAAAAATAAATAAATCCATTTCATTTGATATTTGATTCTTTGAGACTAAACTGAAAAGGGTGGTTTTTAAATATGTCCAATCTCGACCAAACGTAAAATCAAGAAGATTTGGAAAATTATAATGATACTGAATCAATATCCTTTTGGACAATTTTTGTTACTGTTTTTGATGGAGTAAGTTTATTATTTAATATAAATGAAACGCCTCTTGTACTATTCACTTTAAATAAATCACTTAAACTTGCTTTGAAAACGTTTCCTTTATTATTTAAAATATAACGCATGATAGTATGGAGTGTCATTGACTCAGATCCCCCAATTAAAGCTTGTTGAGCTTATTTTTATTTCCCTGTTATCTAAAAATATTTTTTTTAAATCATACTAGCGCTTTAATAAATAATAGTGTCCTTATGGCAATAATATATGTATTTGGCGATTGTAAAACTTATTCAAATTAAAATTGTTATTTACAATGAGCTCAATAAGTTAAAATTGATATGGTAAATATTTATCTTCATATAATTTAACTAATTTCACACAAGTTTTTAAAGCTATTAAATTTAAATAATAGGTAGTTCATTATAATTATTATTATAGATCTCTTTCAAAAAATGTACCTACAAATTTAATAACAGGCCATACAGAGTGTTTCAAGTTTGCAGTCAAGTACTTATTTTATATATTTTTCAAGTTAAAATCATTGCTGAAAATTAATTACAGACCATTAGAAACAGCCTGTATGTACAGTGTGAATAAACAAATAAGATGAATAACAATCAATAATGATTGTTAAGGAAATTGTTTTATTTAGTGTAAGGAGGGAAGTATTCCTCCAAGGATAGTAATATGGTAACTATGAATTCTGAAAAGGCTGCCACAAAGCGCAAGCCAGAGCCTAATAATGGGGGCTGCACTAAAATAAATCATGAGGAGCAGGTTACTGTTCATCCTGCACCAACTGCTGAAGACTCTGCTAATCATCTTTTATATAAAAAGGTAAGTTGTTAAAATAGTTGATAGGTAATGTGCCTTACATTTGACAATCTATTTATGAATTAAATCATGAACTTTCATTTAGTGCACATCACAGGTTGAGCAAGTTCATGGCACTGAAGATAAATTAATTATTTAACATATTTGAAGGATATTCTTATATATCTATGGATATTCTATCGATTTCAGGTTTTTTTATTTTTCAGTGATTTGGGAAAACAACCTAATTTGTTTAAATTCTGATTTTAAAAGTAAAAATAATTATTTAACGTATTCAAGGATAATAACATGTAAAAGTTATCAGATGTGCTTATATGCTTTAAATATGTAAAATCTGACCTTCCTCAACTTGTGATGTTTTCACTAAATGCCCCATATACTAGAACAAAATGAAAAGGGTGCTTGTAGGTTATTAAAATAATAGATTCACATGGCCAGTTAGTAGTCCTGATACCATCCAGATGTTATTTCTAATTATAACCATTGTATTTCGGAGACCAGTAATATTTTATTTCAGCATGTTTTGTTTGATCGTCATATTTTCAATCAGATAATCTTCAGTTGTTCTGTGTACTAATCTTAATGAGACACCATGTATATATAAAGACATTAATGATTCTAGGTAAGGCCATTTTGACCCCTGGTAATTTATTGGACTAATTATGAATCTTTAACACTATAATACATCAACCAATGACAATCTTTTATTCCGACACAAGTCAATCAAAACAAACTGTATCTGAATGTCAAAAATGTGAAGAAAAATGTTCAAAAATCGTTTTGGTTGAATAAATATACATTGTAAATAAAGAATCGACATCACTTTTGACTTCATCTTACATAAACAAAGCAAGTTTCATTTATAAATGCTCTTTATATGGTTAAATAATCTTTCCAAATACCACAGGAGTAATAACATTTTCTATTTTTATTTTGTCATACATTTCTATATGATCTGCCTTGTACTGAAGCTGACAAAAAATGAAAAATGTAGTCTTGACTTTTTTAAATTCATGCCTAAACTCATACCTTTTTGATGTCTGCACAACAATTAAAACTCATAAAATATTTAGAAACTATTCAATAATAATATTTAATTTACTAATAGAAAATTAACATTCCTTAAAATGTTAGAATACATTAATAAAAATTATTAAAAAAATGTTTTATACATACCGTGGCTTGGAAAAACGATAACGACTGTGTTATGTCTTTTATTTTTTGAATTTTTGCCATCACTTGAACAGCTTTTGATTGCACAGATTTACCCCATTTGTGTATAATGTTAATATTATTTCAAAATTATCTACGATTATAATGTGTAGTTTTTAGATTTTACCCTATAGTACACGAGCGCCATTCTGGTCACTTTCTGAAACGTTATTTTCTGCTGTTTGGTATAGTAAAAGGTTGCAATTTGAAATAGACAATGCTTTCTAGAAAGGTGTTAATGGTACTATTTTAATGATGTTTTTATTGTAAGTTTGGCTTGTTTAAAATTAAAAAATAATCCTAATTAACAGAAATTACAATTGTTGACCTAATTAATAATATAATTGATTATATAATAATAATTGATTAATAATATAATTGATTATAATATTAATTCTTGGGGATATTAAATAATATCTGAAAGTACAGACTCATACCAATCAGTATATATTTCAATCAGTGAAATATCTTCAAATATATTTAACCCTAATTTGAGGGTGATTGCAACTAATTATTATGGTCTATGAATTAAACACAATATGTTGATTCTACAACCATTTAATTCCAACTCATATTTCAACTGTGGTACAAAATATAAAAATGTCTCTACAAGATAAGAAATTAAATTTACAGGGTGTAACAATTTGAACCTATAAAATAATATGAAATAATTATATTAGATATTCCACATCTCCCCCTCAAAAAAAAAAATAGAAGTATTAACCTTAAATTCAATATTTACAATCTACCAAGTTAATCATAATTTAAACGATTCACTGGTTTGACCACCCTTTTGGGCCTACTACTAGCACCTAAACTACTATTTACATCACTATCTACATCATTATTTACACTAGAAACTTCATTTGAATCATCTGCTTGAGACACTAATGGAAGTGAAGATTCCACAATATGAAATTTTTTCATTTGATTCAAATGACGTTTCCATTCTGTGTCTTGCAATTCTGGAATTTTAACAATATATGTAACTTTCCCAATTTTTTTAACAACAATGGCTTTTATCCATTCCACCTTATTTTTTCTTCGATAATCGCGCACAGTCACCTGTTCACCTGGCTCGAACACTAAAAACCTTTTACCACTAGAATTAAGTTTTTGTTTTTCTTGTACCTTTGATATATGATTTCTCAAATTGGTTTGATCACCAGGTAAAAGTATATCAAAACGAGTGCGTAAATTTCTTTTTAACATTAATTTCGCCGGACTTACATTTGTTGTACAATGTGGGGTTGAACGATAATCAAATAAAAAATTATTGAGCGCTAAATTAATGTTAATATTAGAGCTTTTCCCAAGTGCATTTTTCAGAGCATTTTTAATTGTCTTAACGGCGTTCTCTGCTGCCCCATTAGAGGAAGGATGGTAAGGAGGACTAGTAATATGCAAAACATGATTATTTTTTAGAAAGTTTTCAAATTCTAATGAACAAAATGAAGTACCGTTATCAGTTACGATTTTATTGGGTAAACCGAATCGGGCAAAACAAGATCGTAATATCTCTATTGTTTGCGATGACGTTATTGAAGTCATACGAAAAACTTCAATCCACTTGCTATGAGCATCTAAAATTATTAAAAAATAATTACTTAAAAAAGGACCCATAAAATCTAAATGAAGTCTTTCCCATGGCTGTTCAGGCCAAGGCCAAGATTGAACAATGGTTTTTTCTGGAGAATTTTTATTTTTTAAACAATTTTCGCAAGTTTTGCATATTTCTTCAATTTTTTTACCTAAATTAGGCCACCAGAAATACGATCGCGCTAAGCTTTTCATTTTTACCACACCCATATGTGTAGAGTGCAAACTTTCCAAAATATTTGCTTGTAATTTAACAGGTATTACAATCCTGTTGTTCCAAATTAAACAGTCATTTTCAATCGATAATTCATTTTTAATTTTATAAAAATATTTAAAATCATCATTCTTTTCAAATTTTTTATTTAAAGGCCAACCGTTTTCTACGAATTCGACAACAGTTGATAATATTTTATCTTTTACCGTTGCTTGCCGTATTTTCTCGAAATTTATCGGAATATTTTCGTTCATAGAAAAAATGTCTATATAATTGAAATCTACATTTTCCACAGAATCCTCTTCCACTGGTTGAGGAAGTCGGGACAAAACATCTGCAGGATTATTTTCACTTTTTACTACTTCAATGTCGTATTGATAACTCGACAAAATTATTGCCCATCTGCGCAACCTATTTGCGGAATATTCCGGTATTTTTTTATTTGGATGAAAAATATAGGACAAAGGTTTATTATCGGTTACTAAAGTAAATTTTTTTCCGAATAAATAGTTATGAAATTTGCATAACCCAAAAATAACCGCTAGCGCCTCTTTTTCTAAAATACCAAATTTTTTCTTTCTATCTATTAAGGTTCGCGATGCATAAGCTATCACTTTTTCTGTGCCGTCTGGCATACTATGGGAAATTAATGCTCCTATTCCATAATCACTTGCATCAGTAACTAATCGTAAAGGTAGTTCAGGATCGAAATGCACTAAAACCGGTGCTGACGCTAAAATTTTCTTAACATTTTCAAAAGATTGCTGACATTGAACAGACCAACACCAAGTTGACTTTTTTTTTAATAAATTATAAAGTGGATGCAATAATGTAGATAAATTTTTTACAAATTTTCCATAATAATTTATTAAACCTAAAAATGATTGTAAAGAAATAACATTTGTGGGGGGTTGTGCATTCATTATTGCTGAAATTTTTGTCTCTGACGTATGTAAACCCTCCTTGTCAATATCATATCCTAGATAGGTAATTTTTTCTTTAAAAAAATCACATTTCTTTACTGATAATTTTAATCCTGCTTCTTGTAAACGAGAAAGGACGGTTCCTAAACGGTTTAAATGTTCATCCCGGGTTTTTCCCGTAATCAGGATGTCATCTAAAAAACAGACAACGCCTTCCAACCCTTGTAACAACGATTCTATTATTTTTTCAAATTTTGCAGGTATACTTGCAATGCCAAACGGTGCTCTATTATACCGAAACACCCCTTTATGAGTCGAAATTGTTACCAATTCTTTTGATTCATCATCCAAACATATTTGTTGATAAGCATTTGATAAGTCAAGTTTCGTGAAATGAACACCTCCAGTTAATTTACTAAATAAATCATCAATTTTAGGTAAGGGGTAAGAATCAAGTTCTATAAAAGGATTCAAGGTTACTTTAAAATCGCCACATAAACGAACCGAACCATCTTTTTTTAATACCGGAACTATAGGAGTTCCCCATAACGAAAACTCTACCGGTTCAATAATCCCCAACTCCATCAGTCTATCAAGTTCTTTTTCCACCTTTTCTCTCATCATAAAAGGTAAAGGACGTGCTCTGAAAAATTTGGGACTAACTGAAATATCAGATTTCAATTTAATAGAAATTAATCCTTTGTTAAATTTACCTAATCCTGGTGAAAATAATGTTTGAAATTTATCAACTAAATAATTAACTTCCACTGGAATGGCAAGTTCATTTAAATTAAAAATAGTTAAATCAAAAAGATTAAAGAAATCTCTTCCTAACAAGGGTGGTCCACCATTTTTTATGACAAAGAAATTTAAAGTACCATATTTTCCCTTGAACAGGATTTCACAAGTAATAAAACCTAAAGGTATAATTTTATCCCCGTTATATACATGGAAAACCTTTTTAGTTTGCTGCAAAAATTTGTTGCTAAAATTTTTAGAATAAAAATTATCTGAAATTACAGAATAACTAGCTCCTGTGTCCAAACTAAAGGTAAACATTTTTTGTTCTACCAATAAATCTATTAAAACCAAATCTGACTTTTCTTCTAAATTAAATAAATTAAACAAACAATAATCTTCGGAATCTAAAAAATTATTTTTATCACGATTTTTCGATTTATTGGAATTATTTTTATTTGGACACATCGGAGCCAGATGACCTTTTTTGTTACAAATATGACAATGGCACTCACGATAAGAACACTTATCTGATTGATGGTTTTTGCGTCCACAAACGGAACACCTAAAATTTGTTGACGATCCTACCGGGTGACCTCTGCTTCTTCCTGCTGCGCTGCGACCATATCGCTGACCAGACGAAGGATGAGCATGCGTAGGATGCTTAAACTTAGAAGTGCTTGCGCCGGTGAAATGAATTTCTGGTTCCCTTTTTATCGCTGTTTCGAAAAAAGTTTGATTCGCCGACTTGGACGAAGCTATTTCCAAAACTTTGAAAAATTTCACAGTGGCCTTTTCTTCAAAAAGACGATCTTTCACTGAACCTTTTTCGTAGCCAATTATAAATTGATTCACTAACGATTTCTCAATTTCCGCGGCACCACCAAATTCACACACGGACACTAAACTACGCAAACGCGCTGCCCATTCTTTAGGACTTTCTTGGGCTTGCTTACGGGATCCAAAAAATTTTTCACGGTTAGCAAAAATTGATGTAACTGACTTAAAATGTTCATCTAATAAAGTTAATAACTCACTAAATTTTTTCTCTTCCGGTTCTTCCGGAATACACATATTATGTAAAAGTTTATAAGCTTCTTCATTTAATAAGCTCAAAATTATTGCACGTTTACGATTATCATCTTTGATATCATTGGCAGAAAAATAGTTCATAAGTCTTTTTTTATATACTGACCAATCTGATCTACCGGGCACGAATTCTTGTATGTTGCCGGTAAATGGCACTATCACTGTGTCCGGCATTTTGTATCAGGTACAGAAAAAAAAATATTAGGCCGAAGACTTGACTACACAATAATATCACTAACACAACTAACAAAAAATCTCTCGTCGCCACTTTGCAATATATTTAACCCCAATTTGAGGGTGATTGCAACTAACTAATTATTATGGTCTATGAATTAAACACAATATGTTGATTCTACAACCATTTAATTCCAACTCATATTTCAACTGTGGTACAAAATATAAAAATGTCTCTACAAGATAAGAAATTAAATTTACAGGGTGTAACAATTTGAACCTATAAAATAATATGAAATAATTATATTAGATATTCCAGCTGACTAAAATGTTCTTTTTTTTATATGTGGCCTCTCCAATGTGGTTATCTTCAATGAGACAAAACAAACTCAAAATTTATCCCACATATATTTTAATAAAAATGGCGACCGGTCTCGGCTATAGAGCCATTTTTAAACCTAAGATCTTTAAACGATTTCTTAAATTATAAACAAAACTCAGGCATGGTTAAATCCATTTATAATACGATTTTACACTAGCATGGTGACCGAAGATTGAAATGTATAAGACAACACAATTGTCGACCTCATTACATTTGTTCAGTTAAAAGTTTTGTTGTAGATGGAAAAGATCGTTGAAAAGATGCAGGATGAAACAACTGGTGTACCGGTACGCACTGTAAAAAGCTTTATGTCAAAAATTCCATCGGTATTTACGGGTTCGGATCTCATAATGTGGATGATGAAAAACTTAGATGTAGAAGATCAACAAGAAGCATTACATTTAGCTCATTTAATGGCGTCGCACGGATATTTTTTTCCTATTGACGACCATATGCTCACTGTTAAAAACGATAATACTTTTTATAGATTTCAAACTCCTTACTTTTGGCCGTCAAATTGCTGGGAACCAGAAAACACAGATTACGGTAAGCCTTTTTACAAAATTAAGTGTCACAATGACAGGTGTTTCAACTTCAATCAAATTCTATATAATACACATGTTTTTTCTCTAGATTAAAGCTAAAAGTAACAGTTATCTGGCATTGTTTTCATTAAATTTTAGTACACCATTTACTATCTACGTCTGGTAGATTTTTTCGAACTATGCTCAGTTTAGGGCCATATTTTTCAGAGTTGAAACGCCTATAACAACTGTCATTCAATGTGGTTTCAATACTGAGTGTATTAATTTGAATTGCAGCGGTTTATTTATGCAAGAGAACGATGCAAAACAAAACAAGATTGGAATTAGCTGATTACGAAGCGGAAAATCTAGCTAGACTTCAAAAAATGTTTTCGCGAAAATGGGAATTTATTTTTATGCAGGCGGAAGCGCAAAGTAAAGTTGATAAAAAGAGAGACAAACTCGAACGGAAGGTATTAGACAGCCAAGAGAGGGCGTTTTGGGATGTTCACAGACCTATGGTAATTAAACAATTGTTATCCATGAACAAATTCTCATTTAACACCCCCAAACAATCTTGTATTTTATACTAGGATTATTTTTCAGCCAGGATGTGTTAACACAACTGAGATCGATATAAAAAAAGCGTGCCAGATGCACAAGCCAATTCACGGTGTCAAATTGGTAAATATAGCACCTCAATTATCACCGAGCACATCTGGATTAGCTCCAAAGAACAATGTGGAACAGTTTAAGAAGCAGATTGCTCTACTCAAATCCAGACTTGATAGAAGAAACATTAAGATCTCAAAAGCAGCCGAGTCGTAAGTATAAAAGTATTTTTACTTTGACTTCTTATCAATTCTTTCTTTGCTAGTGTGTTAAATTAATACTTAAATTATTCAGGGATTTTGAATGTTAATATCCATCACTCCAGTGACAAATCAGTTGATTTTCCTTTAGTCTTTTAAAATAGTTAAATAAGAAAAACCCCCGTATCTCCAGAAAACATAATTTCGAGAAAAACGCGATTTAACATATTTTGTTTGGCCTCAAAGCTATATACGGGGAAATAATTTTCTATGATAAATTTAGGCAAAAAAAGCAAATACGGTTTTTTTTTTAGTAAAATGGTACGGCAGTATACCTACAAAGTTTCTTATAAAAATACTTGTTGCAGGTTCGTTGCATATTATGAGCAATATTTAGAGTATGACAGCTTTTTCATTGCTCCAGAGTATCCAAACCCTTGGATTTCAGACAGTCCTGACTTTTGGGAACAAGAAAAAATAGCTAAAGACATATCAGCACGTAGAGTTAAGCGTTGGGCTTTTAGTTTACAAGAGCTTTTACAGGATCCTATTGGACGAGAACACTTCATAAGATTTTTGGATAAAGAATTTAGTGGTGAAAATTTAAGGTACCAAAAACATTTGATAATCACAACTACTATCGGATGCTTTAAACGATTTTTGTTAAACTTTAGGTTTTGGGAGGCCGTGCAAGAGTTGAAGGCGCTTCCACAGAGTCAAGTGCAAGAAAAAGCGATGGAAATATGGGCGGAATTTTTGGCGCCTGATGCTAGCTGTCCTATCAATGTCGATTCGCGCTCAAACGAGTTGACAAAAAAAAATATGGAAGTACCTGATAGGTGGGGGTTTGACTGTGCAGCAGTAAGTGAAATTTACTATGATGATGATGATGATGATGATTTAATCATTCTGTTTCAGAGTCACGTGTATCACTTAATGAAAAGCGATAGTTACTCAAGATATTTAAGGTCAGAAATGTATAAGGAATTTTTGAATGGATCGAAGAAAAAGGTAAGGAAAAGTAAAGTGTAGAGCTGGGTAGCTGTGTGTACTAACTTGAACTGAGCTTATTATATCGCTTTGTATGATTCATGTTTCAATGTTCCTGCTTATATGTGATTGAATTTATTTAAACAAGGCAAGTTTATTTTATATAAGTATTACAATAGTTAAGTGGTTAAGTTTTTTTACACCTTGTATTTATAAATTCAACCTAGTTGTTAGAGCATTGTCATTAGTGGAGTGCTGAATAAATTATGTTATTGGTTTTAGTGGGCATTTCAATATTCAAATTTCTCATCCTAGTCCAAGTTTAATTTACAACGACTGACCAAAATTATTACGCCGTGCAAATATCCCTGAGGTTGGAGAGCTTTATATTTAAAAACAATAATGGTACTAAAAAAAAAAAACTTAAAATACATCAAATGTCAATCAATTTATTTTTTATTAATCTTTATCTCACAGACGGTTTGGTATTAACAAGGATGTTTGATACCATTCTTTGAACTTTTTATTGCCTATTTTTTAAATAATTACATGAGCAAAAAATAGCTTTTTTTTTTAATCTTTATTGTACCAAGTCACAAATGAATCTCAAAAAGATAAGTATTAAAAACTTGGTTATTTAAGATTAATAACAACATAATAAATACACTACTAACATATAGATAATTATTGTAGTTTGTTCCGAGGATGGAAATGATTAAATATATTTCCGAAAACTTGGAAAGTTTTAAAAGAATATTTGAGGAGCTTTGGATCAAAACCGAGTAAATCCACCATAAACGATTTTTGAAAAAATACGATTTTCGAATTGCGCAAAGTATTTGTGTTTTCGTTTGTTTTGTTAGATAATAGTATCGGAGACGTCATTAATAATATATCCTTTGCAATTATAATTTTGAAAAATTATTTTTGTTAAAAATAGAACAAAAATGTATTTATTCAGTTTACTCACATCAAAACTCAAAAGTGCGGGCACTAATGTAACAGGAAAAACAACTTAAAATAAGGAAATAACTCTTATTAATTGCTTTTAAACTGTTGCGAATGCCGGTACGTTGTTTACACTCCTATATTAGTGGATTTATTCAGTTTTGCACGAAAATATCGATTTCGATCCTAAATATTACCAAGATTTATTCGGTTTTGCTCAAACACGTAGTCTATAAAGGTGTAATTTAACAGAGTCAGTTGAAATCCGTAGATTTATTTGGTTTTGCTCCAAATATTTGTTATATATTTTAATACAGGCCGAAATGCGGCACCTTGGAGTATCTTCAAATGAATTAAATATTATTTTAATTAACAGATATTGTATGAATTATATTGGGACTTAAGAAATTACTTGGACCGGGTTAGAAGTTGCCGGTAGTGAAATGTCCCTAAATAAATATGACGAGCTTTTTTGAGCTTTTTATGCGTCAACGGCACTCAACTATTTTAAAGTAATTATTGTATATTGATTTTCAGACTTCTGTGAAGGGAATACGATCAATAGTTTCATTTTCAGCACGAAAAGACAATGTCATTTAATTGAAATGCAAAGTAGGTAACTGGGATTGAAAAAAAGTAAAATTTATCTAGGTACTTGATAAATTTAAAATATATCGACAATACTTAAAAGCCCTTGGCAGACAATTTGACAATTCGATTCTTTTAATTAAAAGAATTCAAAAGAACTTGTTTATTTCAGTTGAAAGATTGTTAATAATATTTACCAAAACAAAGGAGATAGATTATACAAAAATAACGAGTTGAAAAAAGATATTGAGCAGATATTTGAATGTGGTTATAGTGACCCAGTATTCATAAGAAATTATTTTAAGTTACTAAGTTGTGTACATGCTGATATTAATTATATTTGTAAATAGTGGTATGTTGTTACATGACACAAGTTTTTTAGTAATTAGAGCTGTTTTGTTACCTCTGTTGAAGATAAAATACCATTGTGATAAAGTGCACAAAACGAAAAATGGATAAACCTATATATTTATAAAACTGAAATGGTAGAAAACGTCACACTAGTGTACCTGTTTATGTATGTCTGTATGAATGTTAGCAAATGCGTCATCCTATCGATACTGCGTCACTGTTTCCCCATTTGTTTAAAGTGTTGTGAATAATTTTAAGGCTTTGCAGTGTAGGTTGTTTTCAGTTTTGTAACATAAGACACTGCCATTTTAAAATCCAGTGATGACTGTTCAAAAACAAATGCTAGACACTGTATGGGTACTTTACCCTAGAACTATTTCATTGTAATAACTGACCAATAGGCAATCGGACTTAAAATCTCCATTGAGCCTTAATATTTCTTGTTTCGAATCCCACGTTAAAAGGCAATGTTCATCGTGGTTAAAGAGACAATTGAAGCCAGAATAACGCACTTTATAGGGAACAAACTCCTACAGGAGATTTATTCTGTTTGGAGTTTGTTTCCTTGTATTATTTGTGACTTATGGGACCCTATAGATTTTATAAAGTTATTTTGAATACGTATTTTGCTTGGAAAAATGATTTTTAGCATTAGTACTTATAGGATAAATAAATAGATAAAATCAAAATATGAGAGGCATGCCAAAGAAGGCAGTAGAGCACCTATATAAGTTTGATTTAAAAAACCTGTGCCATATTTTTATGCTATTTTTATACCCTATTCAAAAAGCCAGTAGAGTACCTCTTTTTTTTTAATTTATTTTTTCTAAAAACAACCACATATTTTTAGACTTGCAATATTATTATTATTATTATTATTATTATTTTTTCTTCTAAAATTAACTATGGAATGATCAAACTAATAATGGCCGTGTTCACCGTCGTCAAACGTGTTGTAATGCAGTGGGATTATCATCTTTCGATGCATCTCGTATTGAAATTGTGGACGGCCGACCAATATATCTATGATAATGCACGTGCTCGAAAGCGCCTAGGCCTATGCAGCATCAGCATCATAGTTCCGTGAAAATAAAAATCCAAATAAAAGGGTCAGCCTAAAGTTGTTTACGTAATTGTTTTGGTGTATGAATTTTCAAATTTTTTTTTTTTTTTGACTATCCTATGGATATCTCAAGGAATAATATCTTTTATTTACTCTATTTAAAAGTCAAAAATAAAAAAATATACTTTGCTCCCAACACTCCAAAAAAATTTTTCTGTGCGGGCCAGGGGCGGCTTTGTCTGCGGCACTATCCACCACAATTTTACCTACCTCTATCTTCGTTTGACAGACTGCTATTCTTATGTAATGTCTTTCTCTATATTCGATATGTAACATGTCGAGTTCGCACATAAGAATGTAATGTCTCTCTATTCAATACGTAACGTGTCGAGTTTGCACATAAGAATCCCTGTCTTGATGTGTAATCGGTGACGATAAACTGCTAACTTCATTGCGTTTCATAATCATAAAGGTAATCTTGAACTTCTGTCAACTCTGTTTTTAGCATTTTGTCCCGATTTTGATTAAAAGAAATGGATATTCGTTATGAAAACATGAAGTACATGGTAGTAATTGTAAATTATTTTACTATTATTAAAGGAAATCACATCAAGTTTAAATATGAGATTAAGAAAACAAAACGATCGTTCAGCATCAGCTCAACCGTTTATGATACGTGTTCTATCAGTCTTAAAACACGTGGTACGACGGTGAACACGGCCAATCTGACAACTGTTATTAGGCAGCCCGTTGTACAGCTACGTATATAGCATATGCATATCCTGACAAAATAGGATTAAAACTGAAATATTTCCTTAAATTTAGGAAAATCGGGAGAAAAATGAAGTAAACATTACTTAGAGGCTTGTCTTTTGTATTTCAAATCATTTAAGTTTCGTTTTTATTGTGGCAATTTTGCGTGATTAAGGTACTCGACTGTCATGACTTTAAGATAACCACATACATAAATAATAACTAAAGGGGCATAAAAAGAGTCACCTCTCCTTATCTATATTAGATTCTAGGTACCAACTTTTTAAATATTATTATTTACTCGTTATGCAATATATCTTGTTCATTTTTTTTAATAAGCGAAATACCTATGCTTGTTTTTTGTTGAATATTTATTGTTATTGGGTTAAAAGTCTATTAAAGGGAGTAATAATCAAAATCTCGGATTAAAAACAGGGTGATACATATAAGTACCTAAACATTTAATAGACTGCAGAACAAAGGGCAAAATTTGTCTTGCTTATTTCTATTTACAAGACTGTGGCATTATGTAAAAAACATATATGTGTTACTAAATAAATTATTAGCATTGTTTTTTTCTATTACAAAAGGATAGGTATAGTTATTGGACGTGGGATTTCCTTTATAATAATTATTTTAGTCCAATTGCCTTTTTGGTTTCGGTTTTTTATTCTGACACTGACATTCTCAGAACGATTATTTATTTTATATTAAACTAGGTAATTGATAATTTTAATTTATTTTGAAAGATGAATACATAATTAAGTTTTGTCCTGTGGACATGATAAATATAGGTTATAAAAAGGATGAATATTGTCAGTAACAGAAATGTATGTAAGAATTCTAAAACAAAATTGTACAAAGATCAAATACAATGATCAGGGCCGTCTAACATAGGAAAATGTCCAAAGAAAAAATTAAGTAATGATTTATTCAGTCTTTTGAAGAATAGTACTTGCTTTTTGCTAAACTTTCAAAGTAGATATAAGAAATATTTTTATAAAATCTTTAAGCGTATTATAGCAACACATTTATCAGCACCCCAGAAACTAAGATCTTGTTAAAAAGGCGGCACTGAACATTCAGTTTTTTCTCATTTTGTAAAACGGGCAACTGCAGTGTGGCAGAAGATTTAGCTTGTAGGTTATTCATATTATAGTAGTTACTCATTCCGAATAGCCTTTGTCATTTGTATTATAAATTAAAAAAATAAATAAATTTCCCAAATCTGCTTCATTTTTAATAGGTAATGTAAGTATTTTTCATATCTCTTTGTTAGAAAACGATTTAACACAAACGACAAAGGCAAATTCTGTAAAAATTGGTTAAAAAAAAACGGTATTTCTTTAAGTTATCATGTGAATCGTGTACCCTTCAGCTACTCATTACAGTATTTTATAAAAACGAAACTACTCAAAAGGAACTACATCAAAATGAAAATATTATATACATACTATACAGATAGCAGATTTAGAAAAACTATATTGTTAAACTGTAAAGGAATTGAAATCATAAGGTTCAATCAGAATTGTCCATAGCTAGAATGATTATACGTCAAAATAACAATATATTGCAAAAATTTCCCCATTGTTTTATTTCAATTTCGTACCCAGAGTGTTTGCAGCCAATATTTTATTTTCCTATAATTTCATACGAGCAATTCATTAAGTGGGAAATTTGAGCAAGTCCTCTTAAAAAGAGACAACGCGAAGCTACTCGGCAGGTGCTGCCTCTAGTTAAGTGACTAATTAACAAACATAAGTTATGTAGAACTATTATTTAAAAAATGTTTGTAAGGGCAGACCTCTTATTTGAGAATCATACAAACATTTTTCGACTTTTGGTACCGAAACGGGTCACTTGTCGCCAGGTTGTAATTTTTTTTGTTCATCAGTCCTTTCACTGACACAAAAAATGTTTACAATATCATCTCAGATTAAAAAAAAAACGCGTTATGCTATATCCGATCACGTGGCCGAAACCCCTACACCGTAAGTAGCAAAACCGAACGACAGAAAATGCTTGCAATTGCATTTTTTATTATTGTAGACATTAAAAGCATATTATTTCCTAGCCAGCAAAAACTTTATTTTGAATTTGACAGGTTACACGACAGCTTCCACCACCAAGACATAGTACATTTTGTTCACCCCCATGTACCCAACTACAAATTAGACATTCCTTCAACGACCTTGCATCTTAGATGCTATTTTTATTCGAAGTAGTAGTCGTCAAGCCATTCATGAAAAATGCATAAGCGGTTTTTTTAAATAATATTTTCATAGTATTCGACATAAAATATTTAAATTTACTCCATTATTCATAATTTCACGTATTGTAGATAGAATACGTCGTATGTCGCAACCCCTTAGATATACTAACCCTACCCACTGACAGTTCTTTTGTTTAGAATGCCTACAGATTTAATGTATTTGACAAAGTCGCCAAGAGTTGCTTCTCTTATATCGGCCGATGTTAGCCAGTTCTCGCCGATAACAAATCTTCTAATAAATGAGAGCGTCGGGCAATCGTAGAGGATATGCCCGATGGTTTCATCTTCTTGTTCGCAACCCCTGCCAAGTGTGGATTCTGACAGCCCCATGATATGGAGATACTTCCGTACTTGGCAATGCCCAGTCAGAATGCCTGTGATCAGGTGCAGATTATGTCTAGTCGTAGTCGAGTATTTGTTCTCTGCAGTGTTGCCACGATAACTTAAAAGCTCCCTGGCAAGTCTGCAGCTTCCTCGAATTTCACAAGGGAATATTCTTTAATTAGGTTTGTCACTACTGCTATTGTCAGTGCACTAGAAGGGTAAGGTTCAAAAAGTATTTGATTGGCTGCCTTCTTTGCAAGTGAATCGGCAAGACACGGTTACCATTCGATGTGGCGTGTTTCGTGACATTCTAGTACTAACCCTGAATAAATTCGTTGTTTGTTCATAGTGAGTAGTGCTTGTCTGCTATCTGTATAGATGAGCATGTTTCTTCCAGTGATATTATTTCTGGTGATTTCTTTTGCTGCTATGAGAATCTCTCCTTGAGCTCGGTTTGAACTACACTGGCAGTATTGCTCACAGCCCATTTTATGTTAAGGTTTAAGGATCTGGAGTATATTCCACATCCTGAGCCTTGTTTTGTTTTAGAATCGTCGGTGTAGATATGAATCGTACCTGTCACTTCCGGCTGTTTGTGTTCTGTTGATAACTTTATATGGCATATGAAAGATATATCTCGGTGAGATGGGACCCTTGTTCGCTTGAAGCAGTGGAAGAGTATCGGGCGCCTTCTGCCAAAAATAACTTCTGGTTCTATTCCAACCGTGCAGAGGCGTGTCATTGTCATCAGCAACCTCCTTGATGTAAATATCAAGGGGAGTGAGACTAAGAATGACTTCCATGGCTCTGGTCGGTGTAGTTTTCATGGCTCCTGTTATGTTGGGATATGCTGTTTTTTGAATTTGTTCTAGTTTGCGGATACCTATCAATTTTTGGGTTTTCGGTACCCAGACGACTGCACCGTAAGCATAGGTCTTATGGTGGCCGTGTAAGTCCATGCGACGACTGTGGGGGAGAAACCCCAGGTGTACCCCACGGTTCGGCGGCATTGTTCATAAGCAATGTATGCTTTTTTGGCTGTGTTTTTTAAGTGTGAGTTAACTTACTGTCAAAGGTGAGACCTAGCTACTTCACCTCTGTTGCAACGTTTAGCTTTGTGTTTATGCGTTCTGGAGGTTTTAATTACATTTTCATAATTTTCCTTCTGAAAAGGACCATTTGTCTTCTTGGGATTGATAGATAGTGAATGGTTCTTGCACCACTGTTTTATAATTTTGAGAGCTACTTGCAATATTTCTCAAAATTCCCTGTTTGAATGACCAGGTCATCTGCATACCCTATTGTGTAGTGACTGTCATTATTGAGGCGGCTGAAGAGAGTGTTGATATGACCATGTTCTACAGTAGAGGTGATAGCCCCCCTCCCTGTGGACACCCCTTCGCAACCAACTCTCTTATATTCAAGCATTCTACACTTATATTTGAGAGCATGTGTATCCACCCACGTACCAGCTGTGGAACATTACTGTTGTTTAGAAAGTGTATTATTTTGGGAAGGTCGTCCTATTAAAAGCACCTTCTATGTCTATGAAAACACCCAAGGCCGACTCTTTATTGTCCAGTGATTTTTCTATCCGGCCAGCAACTAAGTGAAGGGCCGAATCGGTAGATCTGCCTGGGGTGTATGCATGTTGATTTGGGTGTAGTGGTGTTGTTGTAATCTCCTTTCTCATAGTATTTCCAATGTCTTCATTGAAAACGATGTCAGACTAATTGGTCTGTATGTTTCTGAGACATTGTAATCCATCCTTCTAGGTTTGTGTATAAAAACTACCTTTATCTCTCTCTATTTTTGGGAGATATACCGCAGAGCCAACGAAGATTTAAATATACCTACCATGTGCGGTGTGAGTTCTTCCAGATCCCACTGAAGTGGGGCTGGATAGATACCGTCAGGTCCTGGCGATTTAAATGGAGAGAAGCTAGATATTGGCAATTGTCTACAATGTGTTTGGTAGGTTGCCAATCGGAGACAGATGAGTTGTATTCTTCCTCTGCTCACTCCAGTCGGCCACATCTGTGATGGCCGAGTCAGGTAAGTGTGTTGAGAACAGAAGTTTGATGCTATCTTTGAAGTTTGCATGCCATCCTCTTTAATAAGCGCACCAATATTGCGGTGTGGATCTCGAGAGAGCTTTTTGAAGCCTCGCTGCCTCCAAAAATTTTCGATTTATTCGCAGTAGGATCTCCATCCACCTCTCTGTTCTTGTATTCTCTGAGGTGAGATTTGTAAGTATCCCAGTCCTCTTCGAGTTTTGTGGTTCTTGCCTTATTAAACGATTTCTTAGCCATCTTCCTGAGGTGATCCAACTCGTGACATCACCATGCAGTAGTCATCTGATCGTGTTGGACCAGCGTCAGGGGACAGGATTTCTTATAGACATTGTTTATTGTGCTTTGGATAGTGTTCGAGTACCTACTTTTCCAATGCATTGTTATTGTTTTGTGTTTCGGTCTCCACCTCTCTGCCGTCGGTATTCCTAGGGTTCCGTGATAACGTGTAGGTCGGCAACATCAAGCGGTGGTCTGACATCGAAATATCATCAGACACTTGCGAGTTTAGAATTGATTTATAGATAGCAGTTGTGGATAAAGTGATCTATTAGTGTTTGACTGCGTTGTTATCCTTACTGACCCAACTGAAGTGATGAGCATTTGAGTCGCAACCTATTACCAGCTCAAACTTCTGGTTCAGGCAGCATTCAATCAGATCCTCGAAATCTTTGCTGGATGGGGGCGTGGTTGTGTCGGAGGGGAGGTATGCAGATGCCAGGATCAACGTTTTTTTTTCCCTCTTGGTATATTCCTAGGAATGCCCGTGGTTAAAGACAGATTTTGATATGGCAACCCTGTGGGCCTGTTATCTTTGACAGGGTCAATGGTACTTGTTTAGTTATATAGACGGCTTAAAGTAGTTTTTTGCGAGCGGCCAAATTGCCTCGCAAGTGCTCATTAATTAGAATCGGTTTAGCAAAAATGCGTTTTAAAACCAATTTTCAGCCTTTGAATATAGTAAAAAAATTACATTTTTACTTTAAGACGTAAGCTTATGTTTATTCTGAAAAACGTATGATCAATCTATATAACTATCTATATCATTGACCCTGTCAAATCGCAAGGCCCACAGGGTTGCCATATCATAACCTGTCATTACCCACTTGCAACAATTTTATTTATTTGGGGAATAAAAACACAAAAAACACGACATCCAACTTTTTGCAGTATGATGAGGAACAGTGAGCCATGCCTGCGCCAGACATAGGTTATCAACGGGCCAAGTTCGTTAGATTTGCAAGGTGCTGTAGGTTGTAGGTCTACTGCGCGATGGAAAGCAACGGATCTACTTCGATCCTATTTGGCGCAGCGCTTGGTAGGCACGCTGTACCGTACAAATATGACGAAGCTGGCCCGTTGTTGGGCTGAACTTTGAGCAGTAGATCCGTTGAAACGCCTGGCATTTGAATTTACTACGAGAGTCAAATTGTTTACGCTGTTAAACAAAAATATTAGTCAGGTATGTATAACGATTTTATTGGAAATTATCTCATTTATTGAATTATATACGTACCTATATCATTTTTGTTAAATTTTTAATCAACCAACATCCTGGTTACTATTTTGTGAGACTTAAATTCTAAATATCCACAAAGTTGAATATTTTTACTGCTTTGTATTACTTTAGTTGTTATTTTGCAGTAAAATATCGGTGGCAAACTTTCGGTGCTAAGCCAGGCGCGCTCTGAGTTTGTTATACATTCTAGGTATCCACTAAAATCTCGGTTACAAAGAGACGCAGAAAGCCTATCATTATTTAATTGAATAATTGCACCGGCCAAAATAAAAATTGGGTATTTTATTCTGCTTTGTTTACATCAATTCTGAGTAATCTAAAAATATACATAATTCTCAAATGCCTATTAACTGTTCATAGTCATACATATTTGGCCGCGGATGGCCTTCTTGGAAAAATCGAGAAATACATGAAAAAGGTTGGTAGTGTTGAAGAATTCAAAGATTTTAATGAGAGTTGCAATAAAGTAGTGTTTAGATATAAAGTTGTGTTGTACCTAAGGATAAAAAAAACTTTTCGTCATAGATTTTTATTTGAAATCGCTTTTAGATTTAAAAAATATACCTACCTCTAGAAAATTAAATATTATTTCCAATGTCTGTTATAACTGAGATGGCTGTGTGATCGTGATCTACAAGAACAGAAACAATTGAACAGTTTCTGTCATGTCGGTGAACCTGTGTCAAAGCAATTTAGTTTTAGTTTCTTTAAATCGGTGTAAAAAACTATATTTTTAACAAAAATAAGTAGTGACGAAGAATAATAGGGACACGCGGCTCCAGCAATAAGAGATAGCGAAATTGGTATCCGAAAAAATAATATAGGTATGTGAAATAACATAGGTATTTTTAGTTTTTTCTCTTGTTCAATTAAAAATGCTTGTATTCAAATTTGATGACTATTATACAATAAAAAAATTGTTAAAATGTACTGAAAATAAAAAAGAATATTTGAAAAGTGTAGCCGCTTGACTTTTTCGACCTTGACTTCTCTGGCCTGGGTCGGAAAAGTACCTATTTTGAATTATAATATTAAGGGTCGCTTTCACCGTTATGTTAAACGAAGTTTAAATTACTAAGCTAAGATTACAATGACATTGTTGATGTAAAAATGTAATTTTAAATTTCGCTCAGTAATTTAAACTTCGTTTAACACAACGGTGGAATCGGCCCTTTCTAACTATTCGACAAAATGTTTTAATGTATTGACCACGTGATCAATTGATGGCCGACTGATTTTTCTTTGATAAAATTTATTAAGAACGACTGGCATTTGAGAGTTTTAAAATTTTTAAAGAAAATAAACTAATAAATTAAAAATATTGGAGCACCTTGGGAAACTTTTATTATTAGTTTTATGAAAAAAAGTTATTTTTCATAAAAAGTTCTGAATAGTTTAAAACTTAAAATGCAACTATCATATATTAAATTTTTCTTTCTTGTACGAGATACGTTGAAAAAGATGAATATTTATGCAAGAGTAGAGTACTTTTCTTTTTAACAATATCGAAAATTGTTATTAAGAAAACTACGGTGAGATATCCAATATTATCCATTTAACATGAAAAAAACAGTTTTATGATTTGCAAAATTAGATGTAATTCGTATTAAGCCAAATTTTACCCGTAGGCATGCAGCGTTCGGGTAAATATAAAGTATCCAGATACATCCAACTCTGATAGTACTAGTTACAAAACTAAGTTCTGAATTTGAATGGAGGATGATAAAATTTAAGTATTTATATTTTAAATTTTTTAAGCAAGAACCATACGTTTACCTGTGTCCCAAGTGATTTGGTAAAACAAGAAATATAATTTGAAGTAAATTGCGGGTCTGTCGTATACTCGTATTTTTCTCACTCCAAGGTATCCTGATGTTAACATCGTTAACAAAAAAAGTCGTTTTGATAGAAAAGGGCAATAAAATAATAAATAAATCGTTGCAATAAATATATTTATTTTAATATCTACATGATTGTGTATATTGCATTACCTTAAACTTAGTGTAGGTATAAAATTCATCCACAGCCCCATTCTAGACAACTAAAATTAAAATGGGATATGGTATTAATTAATGCAGTAAATATTGCATTGATATAATATTAATATATTTCGAGTATCACAATCATGTTTCCATGATATTTCTTAAAGGGGTAATGCACCCAGGCGCATTTTACATAAAAACTTTTAATAACATTTAAAATAACAACGGTATTCGAACTCATGTCTTTCACGCACATACATTAAATTCATTTTAACTGGACAAATTCTGTGAAATACCAAACAGTTTTTTTCTTACATTTGACACATACTCTGATGCGTTCAGTAATTAACTGTGGTTTCATTATTTAAAACGAAAGTTTGGTGAATGATTCGAGAAAGTATTTTTGTGCACAAGTTAACACGATGCACGACCCCTTTAAAATTTAACCTAAAAACTTGCAGTCAGTAAAAAAATAATTTATAAATAAATAGTAACGAGAACGAATTTAAAAACAACTGACGTGAGTTTTTATGTTCAACCATATTTTTTTCTCACGTACTGAACATAAAAATTATATTTGTTTTATAAAAAAAAATAAATTACTTTATGCGATATGTACAAGTTAAAAATGGACTTTTTTAAACAATGCCATTATATAGCGTGATCACTTTCATAAGTAATGTAATTTGCATTAAATTTCAAAACTTTAAACAACGTCTGACTAGACTAGGAGTTTTTTGAGCATTACGAGGTTAGTATTATTATGTTTAACCATATCTAGAGGCAACGAGGCTCCATTTTTCTTTGTCTGAGTGTGCCATACCAATATCTGAAACAAAATTTACACATTAGCTTTGCACCTACAATTCCTAGTTATTTCCTATTATCCGTCATGGTCATGGTATAGTTGTTCTTTTACACAATTTGGCTAGCTAATAGCAGTAATAGGTTCAAAAGAATTATTAGCCAAAAAGGAATATGAATTATGAATAATGGAAAATCTAAACAGTTCCTAGGACTAAGCTCATAAGGGGAATTCAATACCAATTATGTAATGATACAAAGAAAATCTTTAACAAATCTCAGAAATGGTGGAATAACACCAGACCAGGGTCTAAACTCGATGCATGCACTAATCCAGAGTAGAAGAAATATTAGTAGGAATTGGCCCATTAACAGAACATAGGTTTAACAGACATACGTATACCACCGGCCTGGCAAACGGCACTAACTAAAAATGAAGACAATATGACGAGGATAAACAAACTTAGCCCAAATGGTGTTACTAACTTACTTTTGTACAATTATTTGCCAGTAACTCAACATCTTTGGGTTCGAACGGGGACAGACTTTTCAGAAATCCATCCTCTTCGAAACCTGGTTTGAAAGGCATCTTAGCTTTGGGGCGTTTTTGTAGAAACTCCACGGAAACGGCGAAACCTGCCATGTCCACTGCGAACTTCCTGCCACCAATCCAACCGTCGTAGAAACCCGTGAATATCCCGTGTTTCACTATTGGCGAACTCACTCCAGCTTTGGTTATTAATCCAACGGGAAACATGGAAACTCTTTTCGTATATCTTATCTATAAAAAATGATTACTGTCATTCAGACGTGTTTCAATGGGAAACAGGCATATGTTAACCGTGAGTAGAGATCACAGTACCTAATGGTCTTATTAATCCGAGATATTATAGTTCAAGAAATCAATATCAATTAAGTTCTAGACTGAAATAATAAAAACAATACATTAAGTGTACTCTTAACTGCTCTTCTACTAATATATTAAAGCTGAATTCTGTAAGCTAAAGATATCTTGAACCGTACCTATTCATTTATTATTACCTATTTATTTCTTAGGTCATAACTAACCCAAAATAATGAAAAGATGGAAATATCTTTACTCACATCATTAAATAATTCCAAATCGTAAGTATTGTCATCATCTGCGAAGTAAAAAACTCCAGTTTTTGCATTTTCTCTTATCCATTCGATGCCTTTGTTCCTATTCGACACTCCCCTAGGTTTAGGCCCTTTAGTTTTGTTCTTGTACTGGGCAGGCATTGGCGCTGCAATTGAAGAACACTTAAGGTAATGTTTACTACGCTTGACTGTTTCTGACTTACCGATTAAATAATAGTATTTCAACATGGACTTCTTCAGTACTTCTTCTACAAGATCGTTAGTTTCGTAGGCATCTTCTATCACTAGCCACGTCAGGTTTGGCGGTACTAACATTAGAGTGTGAGAAAGTCGGGTAAGTTCAGCTATCTGTTCCGGTCTTTTATAAGTAGGAGTAATGATATAAAGTGGAGGTACATCAGATCCATCTGAAGCAGCTAAGTTATAGTTAGAGCACTAAAAAAGAATGAAACATAATAGAATAGAATTTTATTTACTACGATATATACAAACAGTGCTTTTGTAACAAGTCATAAATAAATAAATAAATAAATAAATAAATAAATAAATAAATAAATAAATAAATAAATAAATAAATAAATAAATAAATAAATAAATAAATAAATAAATAAATAAATAAATAAATAAATAAAATTAAAACAAAATATTATACAAATATAAGAACAGTTACAAATAATAAAACTGACATAACTTAAAATATATACAATTTTTATTTTTAAAATAGTCTGTATGTTCACTAGTGTTTTAAATAAATAAACTATAAATAAATTAAACAAACGTTACAATGATATACAGTTCAGTAAATTTTGTTGCAATTTAGATAATCGAATTTTTTGTTAAATAATTTTGCACTAATTTTATGAATTTCGTAGAGCGTATTAAAAATAAATAGTGATGGTAATGTCATAACAAATTTTTTTGTAGAAGGTTGACTCTTATGATGACTTTCATTTGCTTATGAAATAACTGAATTGCCTCTGACGAATTACCCCAAAAAATAACTCCGTAACTTATCTAAGAATGAAACAATGGCAATATACCGTTTTTAAACATTCAAAATTGGAAATTATGGCCAAACGCCGAAGCAAAATAAACACACTAGATAATCTTTTAACAATGCTATCATATAAAGTTTCATTCCTAATAATTTGATACTGCCAGAATCAAAATTAAGATTTTTATTTTTTCATTTAGCATGAACTTATTAGCACAGAACCATTTTTTTTGACAAATTCAGTATTACCCTTAGCAGAATTTGGCAGACAAGATTGAGCTTTTCCACTTGGAATAAATATGGTATCATCGGCAAAAAGAATAGTTTTACAAGGGCATATATATTTACTTTATTTTCCCTTTCCCCAAAAAACTGGTATTCCTGAAATAACGTGAAATCCAAGGGAGGAGAAAGTAGATGATGAAAATAAATACAGAGTTGCCAGATCGTTTTAGATCATCCGACCAATTAGAAACTACGAACTTTTGACAGCAAGTGACGCTGCTGACATTTTATGATTTGTTGATTAAAAATAATATTAACTGTCGTTTTAAATAATTATCAAACTAGAAATTCAAATCTCTTAGCAATAATTCAAGTTTGAATATCCTTCTAAATGTGTTTAAAATTCTACGATTGTAGAAAGTATTACTTTTCTAAATAATTAATCATTTTAAAAACATGAGTCAAAGTCCAAACAAATTGAAAAGATGTGGAGTTAATACTATTAGAAAAAGGGGGTATTATATAGTGTAAGGGGATAGTTTTACACTACTACTCTTTATGATTAAACAAGTTGCTCCATTTTGTCTAAAATTTATCTGTATTGAATAAAAATTATTCTTATTATTTTCGCGTTTAAATCCATATTAAAGGGGAAGTAAATACCGTAAATGTATAAATATACCTGAAAACTACTATTTTAAATTATTTAAATTTAAATTTCATTGTCTCTACCTAAAAGTAGGAGAAAGTTTTGAGAGAAAATTCTCCACCAATTTTGGTGAATTCGATGTCAAGAATACGAATTTTTACAAGGGTGTAGAAAGTGAGTATTTTCTCCCAATATTTCTCACTCCCCGATTTCAAGACTAGGCATCCTGGTCTCTTTAATGTAAGGTTACGACCAATGTCAATCTATTTGTAATCCAATTTAAAATTTCATTCAAAAAATAATGCATAAAATCAATAAGAAAGTTACAGTGAATTTCTATCACACCTTATTAAATTATTGATTAACTGCACAATTGATTAATTTTCTAGTAGGTATCTCCATTTATCGAACGCTAGCTTGAAGGCTAAATCTGTTTACTGAAAGCCGACACCTTTATGTACTAATTATTCTCAATTATAATTACTCCAATTGCATAAGAGACGCGTTTAAATATTTTAAACGCTGCAAAACAATTTACCTTAATTAAAAATTTTATAAAATGTTTTAAAAGTTTTCCTGTTTATAATTAGTTATTTTATTCTTAATTATAGTATTTTTTTCCTTATCTAATAACAATACAAACTATCCAAAACAATTGGACTATTTTCCAATGGTTTTTAATAGAGCAAACGTAATGCTGCGCTTAAAAATTATCGATAAAACTTTAAAACTTTCAGCCTTAGCACGGAATTTTTTGGGGAAATATACCTGCTGCAAACGGGTATTATTGTGTCGTATGCGGTCTCATTTTAAATCCGATTTTACGGAAAGTTAGACATATTTCTTCATTTTTGGTTGTAATATGGACAATATATTCCATAAAATTAGCTACAAAAATTAAATTAAAGTTCATGCTTGCAAAATCGTCAGCAGTATGTTTTCTTAAACGATTTAGTTTTAAGCGTATACAATACTTTTCATCGACTGGGGTTGTTATATTATTTATTTAGTACATTTCATGTCTTAGTGTCAGTATTAGTTTGATGTTTGTGTATTTTATTTAATTGTCATTTTGTTTTTTTCTTTGCTAAAAGTCTTTTGCGTTCATTACAATTTAATGAACAGTGGTGTTGGCCTGCGTCTGTTCGACGACCGCAAACGGTAATATTATCCAGATAGGCAAATGTATCCTTTTCTAGACGTATGATACTATCAATAATTCGTTGAAATCCTGCAATACCGTTAGTAGCTTCGAAAGAAATCCTTGTGTAACTTCGAAAGGAATTCTTGTAAATTGGTACAAGCAACCACATGTTTCAAAAGCAGTATATATGGCTTCTGTATCTGTAACGTGTGGAAGGTGGGTTACCCCCACGGCACTTAGGCCTCACTAGGCCCATTATGCATCCTTATAAGTTGATAGGCACCTCCTAGCTCGTGAGCCAGCCTACAGATTTGATGTAGTTGACAACGTCGCCAAGAGGTGCTTCTCTTAAATCGGCCGGTGTTAGCCGATACTCGCCGAACAAACATTTTCTAATAAATGAGAGCGTCGAGCAATCGTAGAGGATATGCTTGATGGTCTCTTCTTCTTGTTCGCACCCTCTGCAGAGTGCGGATTCTAACAGCCCCATGATATGAAGATACTTCCGTACTTCTGTCTAGTCATAGTCAAGTATTTGTTCGCTGCTTCCTGGCAACTCTGCAGTTTCTTGTTTCATCCCATCTTTCCTTAAATTTCACACGAGAATGTTCTTTAATTAGGTGTCACTACCGACTTTGTCAGGCCAATGTAAGGGCAGGTCCAAAAAGTATTTGGTTGGCTGTTTTCTTGGCCAGTGAATCAGCAAGACAGTTACCTTTCGATATGGCGTGACCTTTGATCCATCTTCAGGTGACCACGTTGTTAATGGATACTTCGGCCAAAACTTCGTGACATTCTAGTACTAACCCTGAATAAATTCGTGGCCTGTTCAGGGTGAGTAGTGCTTGTCTGCTATCTGTATAGATGATATTGTTTCTGGTGATTTCTTTTGGTGCTATGAGAATCCCCGTGAGCTCTGTTTGAAATACACTGGCACAATTGCTCATAACCCATTTTATGTTAAGGTTTAAGTATATTCCACATCCTGAACCTTGTTTTGTTTTAGAACCGTCGGTGTAGATATGAGTCGTACCTGCCACTTCCGGCTCTTCTATTTGTTCTATTATAACTTTATATGGCTTATGGAAGATATATCTCGGTGAGATGGAGTCCATGTTCGCTTGAAGCAGTGAGAGCGTATCGAGTGCCTCCTGCCAAAAGCCACGATTTGCCTCACCAGATCCTATGTAAGGTTCTATTTCAACATTGCGGGGGCGTGCCATTGTCGTCAGAGCAACCTCCTTGATATAAATATCAAGGAGAGTGAGACTAGAATGACTTACATGGCTCCTGTTATGTTGAGACATGCTGTTCTTTGAATTTGTTCTAGTTTACGGATAGCTGCCAATTTTTGGGTTTTCGGTACCCAGACAACTGCACCGTATGTTAGCATAGGGGCGACGACTCTGGAGTAGAAACCCCAGGTGCGCCTCACGGTTCGGCGGCATTGTTCATAAGTAATGTATCCTCTTTTGACTGTTTTCTAAATGCGAGTTTCATGTTAACTTGCTGTCAAAGGTGAGGCCTAAGTACTTCACCTATGTTGCAAAGTTTAGTTTTGTGTTTAGGAGTTCTGGAGGTTTTAATTTCATTTTCATCCTTTTCCTTTTGAAAAGGACCATTTCAGTCTTCTTAGGATTGATAGACAGCGAATGGTCCTTACACCACTGTTCTATAATTTTGAGAGCTACTTGCATTCTTTCGCAGACTATTTTCTGAAAATTCCTCCCTGTTTGCAGAATGACCAGGTCATCTACATATGCTATTGTGTAGTGACTGTTATTATTGAGGCGGCTGATGAGGGTGTCGAGGACCATGTTCCACAGTAGAAGTGATAGAACCCCTCCCTGTGGAAATTACCTCGCAACCAAGCCTCTTATATTCACATCTTCTACACTTATGTTTACTGCTCGCTTTTAGATCATGTTATGTATCCACCCACTAACCATCTGTGGAACATTCCAGTTGGTTAGTGAGTATATTATCTTGGGAAAGGTGGTTTTATTAAAAGCACCTTCTATGTCTATGAAAACACCCAAGGCGGACTCCTTATTGTCCAGGGATCTCTCTATCTGGCCAGCAACTAGATGCAGGACTGAATCAGTGGATCTGCCTGGGGTGTATGCATGTTGGTTTGGGTGTTGTGGTGTTGTAATCACTACATCCTTTATGTACCTTTCGTATAGCCTTTCCAATATCTTCATGGAAAACGATGTCAGACTAATTGGTCGGTATGTTTTTGGTTTGGGTACGAATACCACTTTTACCTCTCTCCATTTTTTGGGGTTATACCTCAGAGCTAACGAGGATCTGAATATACTTACCAGGTGCAATGTGAGTTCTTCCAGACCCCACTGAAGTAGGGCTGGATAGATACCGTCAGGTCCTGGCGATTTAAATGGAGAGAAGCTGGATATTGCCCA